CGTCATCAATTGAGATTCATATAGCCAGTACATGTGATGGTTGGAGAAACATTGTGAGGTTCATAATTTAACAATATTGCAGTCACAACCTGATTTTTGATTTACATTGCCTTAATTTGATTGTTTTTTTTACGTTTCGATTAGTAATTATCTTTAATTGCCTTCAGTTATTACCTGAAGACCATTAGAGATAATTACTAATCGAAACGTTGTAAGAATTTATAACCGTGATCTTACGTGCGTGTATTCCCATTATACATAAAATGGATATCATATCGCATCGTTTTTACCGTCACGCATGATCCGCACGAAGTGAAGGCGATGTGCGTTTTGATGCCCCTCACGGTTGTTATCTGGGTAGTAGTGAATATTTGTTTTAAATTATATGCTAACAAAGAAATATAAAATAAAAAACTTTCATATATCGACACCTTGAAATGAAATATTTTGAGAAAGTTTTTTTCTATAAACCTTTTTTAATTTTGTCAAAACCCCATTATATTCTTAATAAAAACTAAATCATCCACTTTTAATAATTAATATCTCCGAAGCTATCAGCCCAAAAGGCACAATTTAAAAAAAATGGCTGATTACGTCATAGATTCTACAAAAATGGCGAAAATATAAAAATTGTACATCAAAATGTGCGTAATTGAAAAACAATCGATCTGTTCAGGGATTTTTTTGAGAAAAAACCCGATTTTTTCAATAAATTTTGTCCATACTTTTGCCGGTTATAACCGGCATATATATAAAGTATACTTTATATATAATATTTGTTACTTTTATAATAGCCAAAAATCTAATTTTAAACTAAGTATTGCATATTTGCTTTAAGTTTAATTACTATAAATTCCAAACAATTTTGACACAATGCAGCTAACCATTAGTATGCTTATAAAGAATTCGGTAATTAAAAGTAGATTTATTATTTTTTTCGCAAATTCCCGCCATTCATATGTTCACGTATCATCAACTTTATTGGGCTGTCGAGTTTATCTATTTTCACCAAAATTTATTTTTAAATATTACAAATAGAAACACTTTAATATAATATTTTTTTATCCATTTTGTGTTCATAATGACTTCATTATAACACCGCTTTCGGTGCTGTAATGCGATACTTTACCCCATCCAAAATTTGGATTTTATAGGTTGTCTAGGTATACTTTAAACAGCATATGTACTAGTAAAATAATACATTGCATATTGGTTATAATATTTTTATGATTTTTTTGGAACTTCGAGACTTATCCGGCAATAAATTTTGTTTAATACCAAAGAAAATCCTTTTTTTCTTCTTTAACATTAACAGCAGCTCGTTTTATAAATTGTCCGCGTGCGACAAAATGACGTCTTATTACAGTAGTTCTTTAATATACTATTATGGCAATTGTGTTTTTATTTTAGATGCATTAGAAATAGTTATGTCAAAATGTTAAAAAATATTTTTTTTTTACTTTTCTACTTGCCAAATGCATAATATGTTTACTTTAAAGTCGTGTAGAAACGTGCAAACAATAAATTTAACGAATATTTTTATTTGTAAGCAGACGTAGGTATGGAACAACTTTTTTGGAGTCTGCATTTTATTGTAAAATTACGTTATTCTTTTGTGTAAGGAATTTGCATTTTTGCTACGCACCTGTTCAAAACTGTCAAAATATATCAGAGCAAGATAAATATGTTTTTTGCTTTTATTTTATACAGGGTGTCCCAGAACTTGCTCAACAGAGAAAAAGGGGGCGTGCTGATAGCAATGGATATGCAAAAATTTAAAAATAAAATTTCTAGGTTATAGTGTAATCAAATAAGAGCAGAAATTTCTGCAGCCAATAACGAGAGCTCTCGCCTAGGCTAAACGTAGGAGGTTTAGAAAATTGCTATAGCTCCTATAGGATGCTATTGCTATAGCTCCTATAGGAGACGATAGAACATTGTTGTCTTAAAACTTATAAAAATATTTTGCCCGACTGTGTTTACTAACCTTTCAAAAAAGAATGTCATACTTCAGGACGCCAATGTTTTAAAGTAAAAGTTAAACAACTAGTTCTGTACCCCAGAGCCAAAATCTCTAGCAACAACTACAGAATTTCACTCTAGCGGGATTATCTTCCTGCTGAAGGTGCTGCACTCGCGTAAAATGAACGTCCTTCATAACCCGCTAAACTGTGAACGCGAAATTCGCGTGCAACTTCCCTTATGCTCTCCCTACTATTTGCATCAAAGGCATTAAAAATAGTTTCATTATTTTCCGCTGTTCTAATACGTTAAGGAGCACCTTCAATTTCGTTACAACGCAGAACAACTTTACAGTCCAGGGGACGATCGGGAAAGAGCTGGGAAAAACTCGTGCTGCCTCCCTAGCATAGCGCCCAGATTCCACATAAAAATTTATCATTTCGACATAATCAGAAGAGGAAAACACAACTTGAAATAATAAATAATGGCAGGAACAAATATTTTTTAATAATATATCAACAATGCATCCTAAGTATACTGGCAATTTAAAAAATGCCCTATGGCCATGTATTGGGATTGGCTATCGTTTTATTTTCTCAACTCGCTATCAAGTATGTGTTTCGCCTAACTTTCGGCACGTTGCCTTTTTCTCTGTGGTGCGAGTTCTGGGACATATTTTTATTTTTTTTTAAATTATTATTTTTTTTAGTCAACGGTCATTCTTCCGAAGAGAAAGACGAAAAAATTGACTTACGAAGCAAACTAGAGGGAATTTTAAAGTTAATGTTAATGATATGGTGTCAAGAAAATAAGGCCTTAAATGTTGTTACACAAAAAAAAAGTGGTATGATACTAAAAACGAAAATTTTAATAAAAACTAACAATCCTAAATTATTAAAAAAAAAACAGTTTAGTACCAGGTACACGGTAGGTCTAAATCCAGTCTATATTGACCGGATTAGCACCATGTTTTTTATGACAGATTTCGAAAATATATATTAAAATAAGCTCAAACACCAGTTTATAGCAAAATTGCCCGAGCCGTTTCGTCGGAAATCGAGATTTAGAGCAAAAAATTACAAAAATGAATAATTTTACTTGCAAATCAATCAGGTTTACTAAATAAGAGTCATTATGACATTATAACAATCAAAATCGAGTCCTTCGCGCGAAGACATTTTACTATTTTTCCGTGAGGTGGCGCCACAACGAAAGGTCATCTGTCAAACTGTTTACTTTACGGACATAGTTGCTGGACTACACATTGAGCTTTACGCTGCAGAATAGTTTATTGTCTAATTCTGAACCTTATAATAATGAACGTTTAAATAATGTATGTGAAAACTCAAGCTTGGACCCATTAAAAAAATCTTTCACGACTTATATGTAATGCTTGCAAAATACTTAGTTACCGAAAAAAAAAGGATCAGAATTCGTCTGCTGTTCAGATTATTCTACATTTCCTTCTTTACCAAAACATACAAGGAAACAAGATAAAATAAAATGCCAGTGCAAATTATTCGAGTTCGTACGAACACTGGGACATCAGAATTTTATACAGAAAAATATCAGTGTCAAGAAAAAAGTTGCTAGCAATGTGCAAGCTTTTATTTTTAATGAGTTTCCATCAATGTTTCTGCAATAAACTTTCCGTAGCGATGCGATACCATGGTATCCTTATTCTTCTTCTCGGTCCGAAGTACGAAGAACTGCAGCTACACCCACCACAGTATTTGTTGAATGTCCAAAATCTGTTCCAATCTTTAAAACCTCTTTTGCACGAATTTGTTTATCTCGTTTTTTTGTATTATTATTTCGGAGGTTTACCATGGCGTCGAGATAAGTGCATTTAAGCACCGAGCTCTTGAATATTGATATTGCTTATATTTTTAATCAGATCAGTTAATAAATGTTCCTGTACTATTGGAGGCAATTCTGATTAAAATGACTCGACTAGATTTGCATAATTGTGCATTTTATGCCAAAAATGTGCTAGTCCTTTTTGCAAAGATTTTCTACACCTTGCACATTGCTTGGCAAATTTTTTCTTGACACTGATATTTTTCTGCATAAAATTCTAATGTCCCAGTGTTCGTACGAACATAATTTGCACTGACATTTTATTTTATATTGTTTCCTTGTATGTTTTGGTAAAGAAGGAAATGTATTAAATTGAGTATCTGAACAGCAGACGAATTCGGATCCTTTTTTTCGGTAAATATATATTTTGCAAGCACAGCATATGAGTGGTAGAAGACGGTTGTCTTCAGGATTAAAAGGAAAATTGTCCTGAACCGCGCTCTGAAGAGTTCCAGTAATTTTTCGCATATCCGCCTTCTTTTTGAAACATAACAATCAAACTCGCGATTTTCTTCATGGGTCCCAGCCTGAGTTTTCACATACATCATTTTAACGTTCATTGTTATAAGGTACAGAATTTGACAATAAACTATTTAGCAGCGTATAAGCTCAATGTGTCCGTAAAGTGGACAGTTTGACAGATGACTTTTCGTTGTAGTGCCACCTGACGGAAAAATAGTAAAATCTCTTCGCCCGGAGGACTCGATTTTGATTGTTATAATGTCATTATAACTCTTAATAACCTTAATAAATGCTTTGCAAGCAAAATTAATTATTTTCGTGATTTTTTGCCCTAAATTTCGATTTCCAACGAAACGGCTCTGGTAATTTTGCTATAAACGGGTGATTGAGTTTATTTTAATATATATTTTTGAAATAATATTATGTCATAAAAAAGGTGGTGCTAATCCGGTCAATATAGACTGGTTTCAGGCCTACCGTGGGTACTATCTTAGTAAACATCTTGGTATATCCATATCAAGGAGGTTGTAAAGAAATAGTCAATCCATCTCTCTCTTACTTATGCACAGCCACTAATTTCTTACGCCACGAATGGTTCTCTCTACGTCACGTTCGCGCGTAACTAATACCGCTTTTTGCACGCACACTCTGACACAACCGTCACATCCACTTAATATCCCAGGAAGCTCTAACTTATCATTTTTCGCCATTTTTAGAATGCGACAAGACAGTGGTGGTACGTCGGGAGTCCGGCGAGTTCGGCTTCCGGATCCACGGATCGAAACCCGTGGTGGTTTCCGCCATCGAACCCGGAACTCCGGCGGAAACGTCCGGTTTGGAGGTGGGCGACATCGTGTTGGCCGTGAACGGGGTCAGCGTGCTGGATAAGAGTCATTCCGAGGTCGTCAAGATTGCGCACGCTGGAAGCGATACACTTCAATTGGAGGTAAGTAAGATTGAAATATCTGTTTTTGATAATTTTGTGCAAGGCAGTGTACCCAAGCAGCATTTTTGGTTCCAAAAACCATTACCAAAGTGGTGATAACTTTAAATTAGTTAAGTATACTAAACAGCTACTTTAATTTTTACTTAAAAGTAACTGTAACTTTTAAATAGCAATATTTTGTAACAGAAACTTCATACTTTCCTTAAATGGTACTATAAAGTAATAAACATTTAAGTAAAACTTGGTTGCCCCCAAGAAGACTTTGCAACTTTAAAAAAGGTGTTATAAGTAAAAAAAACTTTCAAGTAAATTTAATTTGTAGCAGTTATTTTCGGTTGCTACCTAAAGATTACATTATAATTATTTTTATTTTGTAGTCCCTTTGCAAGTTAAAATCTCGAAACTGGAAAATAAGTTAAAAACTACAAAGTTAATAACTTAAAAGTTATTAATTTAGTATTTGGAACTTTTATGGTACTAACCAAAACTACCGTAAAGTAAATTAAGGTGGAAAAAACTTTAAAGTAGCGAAAACTACTTCAAAGGAAAATGCTTCTTATCGGCCATTTTTTACTGTACAGTACCACGTGGTAATGTAAATAATAAATTATTTTAATTGTTTGTAAATGGTTGTTTACTTTTTAATAAATAGTAATTTTGTTGGTAATACAGTATTAATAATTAAATAAAAAATTAATAATATAATATTAAGATTTTTTTATTTATAAACATTATTAAATAAATAATTTGTTTATACTTAAATATTAATGAAGCGCATTTATTTTACAAAAACTAAATTCATAAGTTCAACAGTAAAATTTAAAGGGTTTATAAATTTACTGTTATAGTAATATAATTTACTATAATTTAATTTTTTATAGTTTACCAATTAATCCGGCCCTGCTTAGCAACAGCTGACTAAGAGTGTTGGCAAGACTGCAAGAAAGTCAAGTTGAAGTGTAACCGGCATCTACGAAACAGACAAGTTTTCCCAATTTTCATTATTCTTTTTAATATAACTTTCATTTGAGCCACCTTCCAACTTTCAGGCACATTATTAAAACATTTTTCTACATGGTAAGTGCACCATTCATTTCCCAAGTGTCTAAATCGAACCAAGGTCAAACCCACAACAAATCCCACAATAACATGGCGCCCAACAGTGTGTAAGCAGCAAGAAATAACGGAAATTATTTCGCGAATCCTACAAAAAATCCCTTTATTAATCCAAACTTGTCTCGTGGTCGGCAACAAAAATAAACTTTAGTTTTAAGACATTTAGTGCAGTTCGGTAGTGGTAAGTTGTGTTGTTAAGAAACTTTGCTAGCAGATAAAAAAACAAAAACATTCATCATGAACAATAATAACAATAAGTGGACTGTTACTGATAATTTATCAAATCTCGCCGAAAACAACTGCACTTTTCATGAATTCAGTCATTTAAACCAAAATATTTTGCAAAATGTTTCAACCCCCCATGCACTTAATCAAAATACACTAAATCAAATTCAACCTAACCAATCACAAATTTTACAAAATCCACAGTATTTTTACCCCAATACCAATTCATGTCAACAAAATGATTTTATACATTTTTCTCCCTCCACAAACCCATTTGATTCAAATTTAACAAATAACATGGAACCATCAATTTCACAAATAACTTCAGCTTTTATGGAAACTCTAAAAATAGTCAGAGAACAAAATAAAAGTCAAAAACTTCCAGTCCCCACTATCAAGTTCCATGGACTTATTCATGAAAATCCCTTATTTTTTCTCGAATTTCTTCAAGAGTTTTTCAAAAAACACCAAATTTCAGACAGTTTTTCAAAAATTTTTCATGCCTCTTCTATGCTTGAAGGTGAAGCAAAACAATGGTTTGAACCTTTTAGAAGTATGAACTTGTCATGGGAAACTTTCACAGGCAGATTTTTAGCAAGATTTAATGATGAATCCACAGTTGCTGCAACAACATCAAATCTTTATGGTGAAAAACAAAAACCAGAAGAAAATGCAGCCTATTTTGTCACAGCAAAATTAGCATTATTTAATCGATTAGAACCACACCGTAGTGAACTACATAAACTAACCATAATACTGGAACTTTTTAGACCAGAAATCAGGTCAAGGTTACGTGGATATGGTCATATAAATTCTTGCGAACAACTAATTAAAATAGCCTCACAAGTGGAAAAAGACACCAGTGAAGAAAATGCTTATAGAATAACAACATCTAAACCTGATAATGCACAAACAAAAACCAGTTTGCAACCCAATAAAACTCCAGCTGAACCACCTTCTTCATGTAAATACTGTAGAGAGTGGCATTATCATAGCGATTGTCCAAAAAATCCATATAACCAAAGAAAGGCGGAAAACTTACAGAGGATCGGCCGTGCTCAAACCCCACACGAGGCTCCGATCAACAAACCCACCCAGGGGTTCAACCAAAATTAAACAACCAAACCCTCACAATAAAAACAACCCCAAACTTGTGCAATACACTATCATTGACATATTTACCCCGAATTAACATCATTATCGAAAACCAAACCATATCAGCTCTTCTAGACACAGGTTCTGCCATAAATATACTTCGTCCCAATTTCCTTCAATACCAAAAAAATCCTTCTTCTATAGAACAAATTCTTTTAGCTTGTGGAAAAACTTCTGTCAAGACTTCAGGTCAAATAAATCTTTCTTTCTATATAGATTCCTTAAAACTTAATCACAATTTTCAACTTTTTAATGATCTCCATGAAGACTGCATATTGGGTGCACCATTCTTCGAACAAAATCAAGTAATTTTGGATTACAGTCGAAAATGTGCTTATATCGGCGTAGAACACAGAAAAACAATTTACTGGCACATCCCACCAACTGACATCCCTATCAGTAAAGATTTTCTAAATGAATTAGATAAAAAAGTTACCCAAAATTTCCCTTTACATTCTTTAATCGAAGAATATGCAGACATTTTCAACTATGGTCTTCATCAACCTACCACAAGAACCACACAGCACCAAATTAAACTTTCAGAACCAAACAAAACCATTTGTCAGAAACCTTATACAATGAATCCCAAAAACACCAACATAATGTACCAACAGGTTCAAGAAATGCTATCAGCAGGTGTAATAGAGCCGTCAACCTCCAGATATAGTTCCCCAGTAGTAATCGTTAACAAAGAAGGAAAAAATCCACGTTTCTGTATCGATTACAGGCTTCTTAATGAAATAACCATAGATGAGCCATCCATATTACCCAAAATTCCTGAAACCCTTAAAGACCTTGGAAATGCAACGATTTTTTCTGTTCTTGATTTAAAATCTGGCTACTGGCAGGTTCCAATGCATCCAGAATCAAAGAAGTATACTGCTTTTTCGACACCTGATGGTGCACTTTATAATTTTACAGTTATGCCCTTTGGCTTAAAAAACGCTCCCGGAACATTCCAAAGATTAATGACAAATGAAGTACTTTGTGGTTTCCTACACTCATTCTGCCAAGTATATTTGGATGATATCTTAATCTATTCATCAAATATTAAAGACCATATTCATCACCTAAGACTCATATTCGAAAGAATCCGAATTCATAACCTAAAAATTTCACCAAAGAAATGTAATTTTGCCACTAATGAATTAGACTTTTTGGGCCATCATATTTCTGCCAATAATATTCTTCCCCAAGAAAAACATATCCTTTCCATACAAAATTTTTCTATACCAAATACAAAAAAACAGCTTCAAAGTTTTCTTGGAACATGTAATTGGCTTAGAGAGTATATACCAAGAATGTCCGACATTACATCGCCACTTACTCAATTACTACACAAAGGAGTGAAATTTCACTGGACAGAAAAACAACAAGAAGCATTCCAGAAAATAAAAAATCAAGTTTCAAAACCACTCAAACTTCACCGACCCGATTTTAAAAAACAATTTTACCTACAAACCGACGCTTCAGCCACAGGCATGGGAGCAGTATTGTTCCAAATAGGACAAAATCAGGAAAGACATATTATTTCATATGCAAGTGCACATTTCACAAAAGCCGAAGCAAAATACCACTGCAACGAACAAGAGTGTTTGGCTCTTATATGGGCAATTCGAAAATATCGCCATTATCTAGATGGAAATAAATTTGTCCTTATTACTGATTCCAAAGCCCTACTTTACCTTAAAAAATTTAAAGATACAAATGCAAAATTAACAAGATGGTCTTTACTTTTACAAGAATATTCTTTCGAACTAAGACACTGTGATGGAAAAAACAACGAATTACCAGACTTTCTAAGCAGAAACCCAGAAAATACAACTTTTAACTTATCTCAAATTGATGATGATAGATTACTTCCACCAACTTCGACAACAGCCCAAAAATCGAATATTCCTCAAGTCAACACAATAACACATTTAGACCTCTTTGAAAAAGTTACAATAGAACAACAGAAATCAACACCATTTAAAAGAAAAATAAGCCGATGGAAAAAAATTAACAATCAACAAAAAAGAAATAAAGAAGAAACAACATTTTATAAAAATCATTATGTAAACCAGAACGAAACTCTTTGGAAAAAAGGAAAATCAGGAAATAGACTAATGGTACCAAGAAAAATCATCCCACACGTTATACATTTTTATCACGAAAATCCTGAACAAGCTCATCCAGGAAGAGACGAAACCGTAAGAATAATCGCAAGACACTTCTACTTTAAAAATATGACAAAAACAGTAGGCGATTATGTAAACAACTGTATCATATGTAAATCCGTTAAAGGACGTCAAGTTCAAAAATCTGCACCACTCGAAGCCCACTCACCAAAATTCCCATTCGAAATCCTATCAATTGACATTCTAGGACCTTATCCTGCTACCAGAAATGGAAATAAATATATCATTTGCGTACAAGACGTGTTTACACGTTGGATAGAAGCGGAACCTTTTGATAAAGTAGACGGAAAAACTATTGAAGGCTTCCTAAAGAAAGAAATTTTCAACCGATATGGGTTCCCATCCACAATAATATCCGATAATGGTCCCCAATTCTTATCATCATCATACCGAAACATGTGCAAAAAATACAAAATAAAAACACTTTATACCCCAATCTATCATCAACAATCCAACCCAGTTGAAAGAAAAAATCAAGAATTAAAGAAGATACTACGTACTTTGTTAATAGATAAAGCAGAAGACCGATGGGATACAAAAATTTCAGAAGCAGTAAGAATTACAAGAACTCGCAAAAATGCAGCCACCAATGTTACACCTACAAAGGCACTTTTTGGATACGAAGCTGCTAGACCAGGTGAATGGAATACAGAAACATACCATAACGAAAGAGACAAAGACAACGAAATGCCAAGAACAAGACTAAACCAAATGATACATGACAACCAAATAAAATACCAAAACAAATACACTAACACGCAAGAAAAACCCGAAATAATCTTTGAAGAAAATGATGAAGTCATGGTCAAAGAAAATCGTCAACAAAAACATGCCTTTTCCCCTGTATGGACAGGACCTCACCAAATTGTCAGGAAAATCAGTGACCTGGTTTATGAAGTACAACGCGATGGAAAGAAGTTCTTGGTCCATATAAACGATCTACGAAAAGCTCCGGATGGAAACAGCCTACCAGAGGACTCTGAGTCTGATTATGCTTCAAGTGATTCCGACGATAACACAAACCAAGGCCCAACCAACATCGAAATTGATGACGAATCCGATGTAGAAGAAATTGGTTCCCTCACAATCACACCGATTTCTTCACCCAGGCCAAATATATCATCCCAAGTAGCAAATGACTTTGCTAAAACAAGCTCCAACCAATCAGTAGTGGATCCTGCTGACCCACCACCAACGAGCACTAAAGGGGATGAAGAAGCAACGCAGGAAGCGATGCAGTCACCACCAGGCAGTTCAGGAAGTCCAACTCCAGGCTACAATTTAAGAAAGAGAATCCAGGCACCTAATTCGTGCAAACTTTGTAAATGCCATGATGACAAAAATACCAAGAAGATGGAAAAAACAAAAATGGACTAGTCAGTTTGTAAATTTTCTGAAAAAAAAAAATTTTTTTTGTGAATTTGAGTTTCTTAAATAAAGATGTTTGTAGGGAAAACTTGTCTTCAAAGTGCGGGGGTGTTATAGTAATATAATTTACTATAATTTAATTTTTTATAGTTTACCAATTAATCCGGCCCTGCTTAGCAACAGCTGACTAAGAGTGTTGGCAAGACTGCAAGAAAGTCAAGTTGAAGTGTAACCGGCATCTACGAAACAGACAAGTTTTCCCAATTTTCATTATTCTTTTTAATATAACTTTCATTTGAGCCACCTTCCAACTTTCAGGCACATTATTAAAACATTTTTCTACATGGTAAGTGCACTATTCATTTCCCAAGTGTCTAAATCGAACCAAGGTCAAACCCACAACAAATCCCACAATAACATTACCTGCCTAATTAAACATTATATTGCTATTCTGGAAGTTATAAACTACCAGTACATATTTAATAAACGACGACATTGAAAAGCCAAGTCCGTAGTGGTTCCATTTAAAAAAGGAGGGATAGTATAATCTAATATAAGTTTGACAAAGACAGTTAATATGAAAGTAAAAACAAATAAATAAAAGTAAATATAACGCTCTAGCAACGATATTGAAACGTTCTAGTAACGTAGCAGCTACGTTCCAAATAGTAGCAGGGTTTATAGCTAGTGACATATTTGTTACCTTTTTGGAACTTAATAATTGTTCCCCACTTTAGTCGTAACTTAGTAATGAAAGAGTAATAATATAAAAAGACAGTCGCAAAACACTTTAATAGTTCCATATACCTAACAAATACTTAAATTGTTGCTTGGGTATACCACCCCAAACCATTATCGATCCTACTACAAAAGCTTGCACTTCTTTAACCGTGGAGTCCATACAACGTTCTCCTTGACGTAGACGTATAGACCTATATACTCGCAGTTGAGAAGCAGTCCTGGACCAGGAACCAGGAACCAGGACTCCTGGTTCTCCTTTCTCTTTGCCGTTGTCTATAAACCCTTCTGACGGTTCCAAGTGCGATGGATGGTTGAGGGAACTGTATTAAGTATTCTTGCCACATATCTTTGCGAACGACCTTCTTCTAGATAATTGTGGAGCAAACATGCAAAAACCGATAAATCCATTTTAACATTTTAAGAGAATAGTACCGATTTTTACTAATTTTGGTAAAGTATTTTGACTTAGCACAGCATTTTAAGTAAAAACCGAAACAGAGAGAACCCAACAGGAGCAACAACCCCTTTTAATAGTTTTTAAATATTTGTGGGACACATTTTTGGCCAATATCTCAGAATAAGTATTGCATGTTTTCTCCACAATTGCTCTACCCATTTCAACTTGGTTAAGATGTCTTCTTTGGGCCACCGCTCTTCCAAAAATAGCATTATTCATTTTTAAATACAATTTTATCAATTGCGAACGGTTTAAAAAGTTAAACTAGGTATACAAATTAAATCTTGGTATTGTGAAAAGTTTATATTTTTCTCTAGGTTGCCAGAACTTGCTACGCCTTGAACGCTCCTGCTGACGACCATTCCTCTTCCTCCATGTACAGCGGGTACCTATGGAAACTGAGCGGTTATGCTAGCGGGAACATGACAAACAAATGGATAAGACGATGGTTTTGCCTCAAGCAGAACAACTGCCTTTACTACTATAAGACTGATTCAGTAAGAAAACTATAATTTCTATTATTTAGGTGAATGTGTTTTACTCTAAGCTTGGTTTTGACACCATACTATTTCAGGAAAAGCAACCGGTGGGTGTGGTGATGCTATTTGATCACGAAGTGGAAAAGTTGAAAGACGACGACGGTACTTTATGTAAACCTTTTAGATTTGTTATACAAAGGCCTGACTCAGTTCCACTCCATCTGGCAGCTGACACGAACAACGCCAAAAATAGATGGGTAAGCACAGATTATAGATTTTTAACAAGCCAGACATAATTTACTAAATCAGTCGTTTGTGACTCAGTACTAATGAGCTCCAATAGAGCGAAATAGATAATAAGTTATTAACTTTCAGGTAGATATAATTACGCGAGCCATAACGGATAGCCAAATAGTGGACGAGTTTTTGGAAGAAACTAAGAAAAATTTGACTTTATCGCCCAGTGCAGTGCTTAATCCCGATTGTTTTGGTTATTTGGTCAAATTGGGCACCCAATGGAAATCGTGGAGTCGACGGTACTGCGTTCTGAAAGACGCATGCCTCTACTTTTACCAGGATGCCAATGCCAAAAGTGCTTTTGGTAAGTACTTATAGAGGGTTTAACATGTACGTTTAAATTTCCAATTTTTTTCAGGTGTAGCCTATTTACATGGCTACAGGGTTCAGCAATCCATATCCGGTAACAAAAAACACGCATTCGAAATTCTGCCCCCCGATCCAGACAAAAAACATTATTATTTCCATACTGAATCAGACGCTGATAGAAAAAGGTATAAAAATCATATTTCATAAATTTTTGAAATTTTCATTTTTACCCATTTTGTAGATGGATAGCAGCATTGGAATACTCGATAGATAGATGGTTCAAAATTCATTAAAAAGTAACATATTCGCCAAAACCAAAAAAACATTTTATAAAATTTATTAAATACTTTTAAGTTTAATAACTGTTTACAAATATCACTAAATGTATAGTAAAATATATGCATGTTTTTATTAAGTATATTGTATATTTATTGTTATATTTGCTCAATAATTTATTATATTGAAAAAAGAAAAAAGTATATTACTATGTGTACATTTCGTTTATTAATTTTTATGAAATTCGAAACAAAGAAAACAAAAATGATGTGCACTGCCAAATATATATGTTGTTTAATATTTTGTGTTTTATTTTTTCTGTCCATCTCCTGTAAGAAAGATTCGACTGCTCATTCCAAGTACTGACTTCAAAGAAGATTCAACCCTATTCAGCCAGTCGTTATTATACTAATCTAAAAATGTGGAAAACATATACAGTTATGCGAAACACATACTTGAAAATTAAAATTATCTAACGCAAAGGATAAGCGAGATAAGAATAAACCCCATAGAGACCTATATAAAATAATCTATCGGGCGCTACCGGATTCAATATGTCCATGGTTGTTTCCGGATACGGCCCTATAGGAAATTACCTATAGGCACACCATAACTTTTACATTTTCCCTATTGAGACCGATAGCAAATAAGGATATATAGCGATATCACTATAGAACAACCATAAAAAATTTGACAAAATTTTATTAAAACCTATGGGGTCCTATGTGGAAAAACTAATTGCTACATTTATGTGTATTTTCCCCATTGACACCAATAGCAAATAAATCAAGGGTGGATATCCCTATAGAACAACCATAAATCCCAACTATGGGTCCTATACATACCGATACACCCTATAGAAACACCATATATTCCGATACAAATATCTATCGGTTTGAACAGGGTCTCTATGGGGTATTTTAAGCAGGGAAGACCAGCCATAGGGAATTCTTTAAATTGCTAGGATACTTAGGATGCATTGTTAATATCATAATATGTCAAATATTTGGTCGACTGGAATCCACTTCATTGTGACCCTAGGTCTAGGATTGTGACACTGCTGTCAATTTTTGTTCCTGTCATTATTATTTTAAGTTATGCCAAAATGATGATTATTTATGGGAAGTATGGGCGCAATACTAGGGAGGCAGCACGAGTCTTTTTCCAGCAGTTTCCCGATCGTCCCCTGGACTGTATTGTAACGAAATTAAAGGTGCTCCTTAACGTATAAGAACAGCGGAGAATAAGAAGCTTTTTTCAAAGATTATCTTTGGCTATTTTCAATGCCTTTCATGCAAATAGTAGGAAGAGCATAAGGGAAGTTGCACGCGAATTTCCCGTTCACAGTTCAGAGGGTTATGAAGGACGTTCATTTTAAGCGAGTGCAGCACCTGATATTCCCGCTAGAGTGGAATTCTGTAGTAGTTGCTAGAGATTTTGGGTACAAAACTAGTTGCTTCATTTTTACTTTAAAACATTGACATCCTGAAGTATAATATTCCTTTTTTAAAAGTTAGTAAACAGTCGGACAAGATTTTTAAAAGACAACAATGTTCTATCGTCTCCTAGCATTTCCAATTTAATAGAATTCACATAAATTTTAATTGCACCCCCATTCGGCACCCTGCGTTTTTAAGCTCTGGTACTTGTCTTTCGGTGTCATTTAAAAGCCGGCGCGATGTTTTCTTCTGCACATGTGAGACTTAACACTTTTGCACAGCCCTTGAAATAGTTTAAAGTTTAATACGCACTTTTGTTTTTGGACTGTAAGTCTTTGATTATTTTCGGGCGATAGTGATGTGTTTTATTTTTTAAAGTTTATTGATAACAAAGTACCTATAATATAAAATACATATAATACATATAAATACAATATACAAGGTGTGCATTTAGAGTCTTTCCAAATAAAAACACCTCATTTTTATATATCAACATCTGAAATCATTCTTCTCATTCCATTTGCCGTTTTAATTTGGAACTACTCATTTTTTCATATTTTTGGAAGTTATAAGATATTGATTGATTCCGATTTTAGTAAAAAAATGTCAAAAAACAGTTGGTTAACAAACACCTTGTATAATTATGGTTTTTTTTGCCTTAAACATTGGCTAGCTATTGGTAACTGTTTTAAGTCTTGAAAAGCCTCAGCCGGTAAAACCGTTTTCTTAGGGACTAATTTTTGTGATGATCTTGTTGGTTTGCTCTCTGAGGTAGTTCTGTTGATTGTGGTCTTCATTTCTGTCTGTATTTCGATATTTTTTCTTATGTTTCTTACCTAAAGAGATTCAATCTCAAAACACAATTGTGGTTAGGTTTATTCTTACTTGAACTTGCTTCGTTTTAATTTCTTTTTCCAAATCCGCAAGCTTTTTTGAAACCCTCTTTAACTCCCCGAAACTATTTTCCATATCGTGTAATAATTCCGGTATTGATAGAAGACCAGATTCTTTTTTTAAAGCATAGGTCATATGCCTGAACTGATCCCTTTCCTGTTTGAGTTGGTTTAGAACTTCCCTACTCTGAAATCGAAACTTACCTTGTATATTCCTAAGTATGCAATAAAAGGTGTGTTCGTTTACCTGATTTACTTCAATATCCACCTTGGCCAGTTCAATGGACAAACTGTCCAAGTCAGAGTCCATGGCGTTTGATTTTTCCTTGTAGTGAGCCAAAACCTGAATGGTGTTCTGACACAAAACCCTCAAACGATTCAATTCCTCGTCTTTTTCCTCCAGTTTTTCAACGTACGTGCGGTATTGCAGCTTGAGCTGTTCAAAGTCCATTAAAGTTAGATGAGAACCGATTTTCTCTAGGTTACGAAGTTTCTCTTCTATCTGTTGAACTTTCATGTTAAGTTTTATGTACTTGAATCTCATATCCGATATTTGCAAGTGTTGCTTCTTCTGCCTGTTCAGCAAACTCTCGACCAAGTTATCCGAGATCACCTTTCCAGTTTTTGAAAATATCAAACCCATCCCAATTTCTTTTGCGCGGGTTTGCAGCTGTTTAAATAAGTTGTCTTTAATGTCGACGTGATAATTTCTTTCCGATTTTTCCACTTCTATTTCGGCCTTCAAGATGTTTAGCTCGATTTCTTGCACTTCTTGTTGAGTTTGGAAGCTCAGCAGTTGCATTCTGTATCGTTTTACGTATTCCGTGTTTTCATCTTCATCTCTCTCTTGGAGCCCTTGCTCCATCTGTATATGGAAGTTATTTGTTTATACAAAATACTAAAGGGTTTAACATACCTTTCTTTTTCGCAAGTTATCCACCACTCTTCGTTCAAGAAACCTGTTTATCAACTGCTCCTTTTTAATTTTTTTTTTTAAATCGAAATACAATATTATATACGCTATTCTATCGATTTTTTCTTCCTCAATCACCTCTTCCACTTCTTCCTCTTGCTCTTCCTCTTCCTCTTGCTCCTCTTGAATTTCTTACAAAAAAATAAAATTTAGGTTAGGTCTATTGTCATGACAACAAGTTAACATTATATTTCAATTAACTTAAAATTTAAATATTACCAGAAACTCCATCAACATAATCATCATCATAATAATCAAACCAATCATATTGATCTTGATTCGATTGGGTCAATTGAATCTCGGATTTGACTGGTTTATACAGGATGTTCTCAGTATCTAAATAGAAATCGATACTAAGTTAGTTTTTGCTAAATAAAGAGTGGTCAAAAACTTTTGCTTAAACTAAACAGAAAACTCTTCCATTTCTTTAAAAACTGTTTTGCGTCAGATTCAACAGGATGGCGCTTTGATTTAATGACCACTCTCTTCAAATTTGATAATATTTACCAAATATATTACTTTGACGTTTGGGTTTTTCAACTATTAGTTCGCCCTCTCCAACAAAGTCTAAATAAGGTAAAATTAAATTAAACTCTACGAATATAGTAATATTACCGTCTGATGCTTCTTTTCGAGGATCGATATTATATTCGGACACCAAGGATTTGTCTTCGTCTATTACAAAAATATGTTAAATTTTAGTTGGAACTAATGAGTTTATTAGAAACTTTTATTAATTTAGTTTACCTAATTTTTCTGTAGGGGTAATTTCTTCGCCGTCTTCTTCTTCGTATTCTTCTTCTTCTTTTTCATCCTGTTCCGTTTTAATATGCTCCACAATGATGTAGTCATCGTCCACTTCAAATTTCTTTAACTCCTACATATTTAATCAACAAAATTAAAATATCGTTAATGGGTTTTATAATAAAAAAGATCCTAATGATTACCGATTCGACTTTCTTCTCTATCCAAATTTGTTCATGTTCTTGCAAAACATGTTCAACCTCAGTCTCTGGTATAGTAACATGTTCCTCACTTTTTGACTCTTCTTTAGGAAGTGATTTTTCTTCTTCAACCTCCGTCGGGGCTGGTTCAGTTATTACGTCTTTCTTCTCACTGTTCACATCTGCTGGTGGTGGTGGTGGTGTTGGTTCAACATTTTCATTAGATGCTTCAGTTGCGGCAGGTTTTTCCTCAACTATCTCTTCAGGTTTTTCCTCCTCTTTGATTTCCTCTATCTTGGGTAACTCATCCTCGGCCATTTGGAAGAGTTTGTTGGAAATAAGTCAAAAAACTTTAAAATGTCATTGAATATTGTAGTTGTTTTATTTTAGTATAGATGGGGTCTGTTTTCTGTATTTTGTGGTAACGTGGTAACCACATTCGTTGCATTCATGGCATTATTTATTATGGTCTTATAAAAAAATTTCGTTCTTCCCATGTTAATCGTCCAGTTTATGTAGAAGTTTAAAAAGGACACCAATAAACGTTAAACTAACACACTTGAATAAAAACGACTATTAAAAGTAACAAGCACAAACAACAACTTTAATTCCTAAAGATGTCTTTAGCATATGCTTAATATTAAGAGAGGAAACGTGGGATAGTACTTAATAAAAAAACGCTGTTCAAATATTTTTATTTTTTATTTTGTCTTAAGCATTGATTAGGTTTTGGTAGTTGTTTTAAATCATGAAAAGCCTCAGCTGGTAAAACAGGGCGTTTTTTAGGAATTACGTGAACGTGAACTTTTTTCTCTTGTAGCGTGTGTCTCTTTAATTCTGTCTGAATTTCAATATTCTTCCTTATATTTCTCACCTAAAAATTATAAAAAACTTTATGAAAATACATTATTTTATAAAAATTCTCCTACCTGCTCTTTCTTTATTATGTTTTCCTTTTCCACCTTTTCGAGGCGTTCAGAAGCCTCTTTTAATTCATCGTGAGTATCTTCCATATCATATAATAATTCTGGTATTGTTAAAAGTCCAGATTCTTCTTTTATAGTATTGGTCATTTGCCGGTACTTATCTCTTTCTTGCTTGAGAGTGTTCAATTCGTCCCTGCTCTAAAATTTAAAACAGAAAAAATCGAACATGTGTGCAACGTTTACAGCACTGTAACAAACACCAGATGTCTACCCGGCACTGATGAGGTCCGGTGCCGGGTGTGGTTTTTGATACCTGATTTAACGCCAATTCCATATCGGCCAAATCGTCGGCCAAATCCAATAAATCAGTGTCCATACCGCTCGACTTTTCCTTGTAGTGAGCCATAATTTGGATCGAGTTCTGGCATAACATTCTCAAACGGTTCAACTCGTCATCCCTCTCTTCCAGTTTTTCCACGTACGAGCGGAACTTCAGCTTGAGCTGCTCAAAATCCATCAAAGTCAAGTGAGAATCGATTTTTTCGAGCTTGAGCAGTTTGTCTTCGACCTCTTGAACTTTTATGCGAAGTTTTATGAACGTCAGTCTCATATCGGATATTTGAGAGTGCTGTTTGTTCTGCCTCTCAATCAACGTCGCGACGTAATTGTCCGAAATCGGTTTTCCGGTTTTCGAATAAATCAAACCCATGCCGATTTCTTTCTCGCGCGCTTGCAGCTCGTGGAAGAGGTTTTCTTTCGTGTCCACGTTAAAATTTCTCACCGATTGTGCGCTCTCTATTTCGGCCTTCAGGATGTCCAGGTGGTTCTCTTGCACTTCCTGTTGAGTTTCGAAAGCCGTAAGTTGCATCTTGTATCGTTTTATGAAATCGCTGTCCTCTTCGGCGTCGGAATCACGCAGGCCTTGTTCCAACTGCGATAAAAAAGGCGTTCAAATGTTTTCAACTTTGTGTACCGTACCTTTCGTCTTCTCATAAAATCCACCACTCTCCTTTCAAGAAACGTGTTTTTCTGCTGTTCAAGTCTCGTTTTTCTTTTAACTTCAACATATAATTTTATGTACAGCTGCTTATCTATTGTTTCTTCGTCCACCCTCTTCACGACTTTCCGCTCTTCCATTTCCTCTTCCTTTTGCTCCATTTCTAACAAAATCAAATATAGATATTAGCAGCAAAAATGATTTTGTTGGGAGTTCCAAGCCATTGTAGTTTTTAATTATAAATTAAATTAATTAAAGTAAAAAATTACCAGCCAAGTCGGCATCAATATGATCATCAAAATTAAAATAATCAGGATCATTCATTTCAAATTGGGTATTATCTAAACTTGTTCTCATAAAAGCACTATTAATAGACGCCCTCACTAAATAAAAGAAAAAATAATGGTTAATATATATTTATATAAATTATTCGATATAGAGATCGTCACATTATTTCTCCACAAACCTCAGACTTACATGATTGTTTTTCTGGCAAATCATAGGAGAAGACGTCTTCTCCAACAATACCTAAATTAAATCAAATAAAATGAAATTGCACAGTAGTATATAGTATACTACTACTGTGTATACTAAGTATACACTGACCGGGAGAAGTATGGAACAAATTCATTGAAAAGATATTCCAAAACCTTGGCCGCCCGAGTATGGTAAAGACAGTAAAATTGACATTTTGTTACGTGTGGAAGAAGATCCTCACAGTGCTTCCAGCCTAGTCGCAGCTGAAAGTCAAGTCAGACAACGCTCAGTATTACGTCTTATAAAGAAAGAAAACTTAACGAAGATGATCCGTACTACAATTTTGTGAAACTATGATGAATTTATGTAACAATTATCCACACTTGCCTCGTAAAATACTTTTTTCGTACGAAGCTACCTTCTGTTCGAATGGTACAGTCAACCGTCAAAATTGTAGATACTGGAGCAGAGAAAATCCTCATTGGGTAGTAGAGGCAAATTCCCAATACAGGCAAAAAGTGAATGTCTGGGCAGGAATGGTGGAAAATCGGATCAGGACTCTTCTTTGACGATAATATGACAGGACAAACGTATTTGAAATTTTTGCAAAACTCTCTTCTTCCCACATAAGAAGAAATGTTTCCCAATGAAAATAGAGGTCCCGATCTACCAAGTGATACCATTTGGTTTCAACAGGACGGGGCACCTCCGCACTATGCGCGTCCTGTCCGTACTTTTTTGGACACATGTTTTCCTGAGAGGTGGATTGTCAGAAGAGGACCGATAGAGTGCCCAGCGAGATCTCCAGATCTCACCCCTCTCGATTATTTCTTATGGGGCTACCTTAAATCAAGGGTCTTCATCAACAGACCACAGAGAGATGACTTGAAAAATCAAATTCGTGAAGAATGTCGCTTTATCAGTGCGGATCCGACTTCGAAGTCATCCAAAACGTTCTCAGATAATTTTTGGATAGGCTTGCTGTCAAGAAACCAACGGGAAGCAATTTGAACATTTAATTGGTTAATGTATCCATTACTAGCATTTTCAAAATAATCTTCATGAAGATAAAAACTAGTTTTTTGAAAATAAAAATTTTGAAAGCACGAACTTTTAAATTTAATAATACCCAACCCCCAGATATACATGTGCATATTGCTGAATTCAGAATTTCATAATCTATTCAAATTTGCAAAAAAAAGCGGTTGTACAATTTCAAAAAAGGCCGATGACGTCATAGCTTCTACAAAAATGGCGACAAATATGAAAATTTTACGCTGTATTCAAGTAATTTATTGGGAGAAAAAGGCACATTTTTTAATGAATTTGTTCCAAACTTTAGCCGGTCACTGTATGTTACTAATTAATCTTACCTTCAAGATCTTGTGCATATAAAGAAATCTCGTCATCATTATCATCTTCTTGACCTAAATTTATTAAAATCTTTTCTTTGAAAATAAATATGCAGGTGTTTGCCTATTTACCTTCCTCTTCCTCTTCATAATCTTCTGTTTTAACAAAGTCCTTTTTCACTTCAGTTACATCTTCTTCTTTATCTATTTGCTTAATTTCCTAAATAATAACGTCAGTTTTTTAACATGCCTAAGCTAACCCGGCCAAAAGTTTAGTTTTGAAATAAAAAAATATTACTTCTATTATTTCTTCTTTTCCTCTATCAACCGACTCCTTCTTTACATCTTTTGGTTGTTCCTCAATCTCAGACGCAGTTTTCACGTCTTCTTTTTCGGGTTTGGGCTCCTCTTCAACAGGTGGTTTTTGCTCTTCTACTTCTGCTGGTGCTGTTGGTGGCGGGGCTTCAACATTTTCTTCCCGATTATCCTCAGTTTTCACGTCTTCTTTTTCGGTTATTGCCTCCTCTACAACAGGTGGTTTTTGCTCTTCCACTTCTGCTGGTGCTGTTGGTAGCGTTGCTTCAACATTTTCTTCCTGATTATCCTCAGTTTTCACGTCTTCTTTTTCGGTTATTGCCTCCTCTACAACAGGTGGTTTTTGCTCTTCCACTTCTGCTGGTGCTGTTGGAGGCGGTGGTTCAACCTTTTCTTCTCGATTTTCTTGAGTTTCCGCAGGTTTTTCCTCCTCTGTGGCTTCTATTTCCACAGTTTGTTCTTCTTCGGCCATTTAAAAAAGTTTTTTTGTAATCTTTCCAACAAAAAATACAAAAAAAGTCAATTACACAAAAAAATGTCACTTTTGATTACAAAGAGTGCTGTTATTAATCCAAGAGTGCTGTATTATCAGTATTGTGGTTCGTCCTTTATAACACAGATGGCGCAAACAACTAAAACACAAATGACAGCTGTTTTGTGAAATGAGGTTACTTTTCATCTGTCAAGCGTAGTTTTTTATTTGCATCATCAAAGAAAACATTCAGTGTAAATAATTAATGAGCTCAATTAGGGTGGTTTTAATGAGTAAAATATCGGTGTTTAGTGACAATGCGGCTTCGCAAGTTCTGGTACATAATTCTCTTGCTGTTGTTTTGTACGACTTTTGTTTTAAACGATGAAATTGTGGCGAAAAAGGTGAAATATTGTTTGTTTTGTAATTTTTTATTGAAATTGTGCTTTAAGGATGGAGACGGTTCGGAAATGGGGATTGTTAAAAGTATCTCCAACAAATTGCTGGTTTTTGCTACTTTGGAAGGAAACTTGGTGGCAATAGATAAAATATCTGGGGAAATTAAGTGGAAAATTAAAGACAGTAAGTTTAATTTACTATTTGTTTATTATCAGATTAAAACAATATGATTTAAGAGCCTATAGTACAAGTACCAACTGATATACAAGATGCTATTATTCCAATGTTGCTACCAGACCCAAGAGACGGTTCTTTATATCTCGTGGGAGATTCTAACGAACCTTTAAAAAAACTCCCATTTTCAATACCAACATTGGTAGCTTCATCACCCTGCAGAAGCTCGGATGGTATTATGTACACAGGTAAATATCATTTTTTTTGTAATTTTAAACCTAGCAACTAAATTCAAGTAAAATATTCATCGCCCTGAATAATTAATGGCAACATTAATTGTGACTTTATTGATTCTTATCATTTATTCTTATTACAGCACAATTCTGTTTTTTTACATTTTTGTAGTTATTATTATTCTAGATAACTATTTCTTGATATAATTGTTGGTGTATTTAAAATAATATGCATTCTTTTAGGTTTTTATTGCATAATATTGATAATAAACACATATGTTTATTTATGCAATGTGGTTAAAAATGTAAATTGTTCTTTATCATCACATAAATAGTAATTATTTAAACAATATTAGCTGTTTTTAATAATATAGGTGTCTATTTGCTATTTAAAAACATTTATTAATAAAATTATTTTAAGTTAAGATACATATAAATAAACTATAACCTTTACACATTAATGAATATAAAATTAATTACCAAAATAAGAATCTCCTTTTAACGAGTTTCCATAGAATGTCTTCAAAATGTAATACCTATACATATGATTTTGAGGCATCAGTACATTTACAAATAATTTTAGATTTTTTGACAGCACAGATTCCAAGAAAATTTGTAAAGTTTTAAACATTTGCTTTCCTATGCCATTTTTTATAAAAATCATGTTGATGTTTTAAAAATTGATTTTTACAGTATATTTTGAATGAAAATCATGTAATTTCAAAGTTTGTGCTGCCAACTTAAGAAACACAAAAATAAGAGAGTTTTAAACCCAATTTTTTTTTAAATTTATTTATTAAATATAACACCGAGGGGTAAACCACTGATTTTTAAAAATTAAAAATCGCTTACGAATTAACGGCTAAGGATAACAATAACAAGGGTAGTCATGCGCACCGCGTCGCTAAGAGAAATTTCTTATTGATAAGCACTGATTAAGCAAGTTTTCCTTATTGATAACGAATGATAAGAAAAAAAATCACAACACAATGTCCACTAACATTTAACGTTGGTCTCTAAGATTTTAAAGTGGTTTACCCCTTGTATAACACTGTATCATAGTTTAAGGTAGTTGTCGTGCTATGAGCATACCATCAGAAAATTTTGAATTTTTGTATACTTATTAAGGACATGACAATACATATATCCTTAAAATTTGAAGTCGATTGACCGTCTATAACCCGAGATAAATTCAATTAAAAATTGGATAATTAACATGGATTGTATAGGCTTTCTGTAGTTCTGTACCAGTTTCTTAGTTATACAGAAAAAACTAACTGTCAGAAGCTTTCAAAAAACTAACATTGTTTTAATGTATTTTTGCTGAGTTTAAAAAAAAATAATTAAAAATTTTTGACCGTCCAATTGTTTATAAATAACCGTTTAAAGTTCAACAATTTGTAAAAAGTATACATCACTAGTGTCAGATAAAAACAACTTGGCAAGGCTGTACGCGAGTATAGATCTGTGGGTAAAAGGCATAAGGGGATAAGTCAAAAAAAGTAATTTTTCAATAGAGCCTTTAACGTGTTCGCATTAATTCAGGATATATATTTATGTTTAGCGGGTATACGCTTTTGTTAGCATATGACATGGGCTAAAAAAAGGGTATACCCGCTAACTATAAATATGTTTCCTGAATTAATGCGAATACGTTTAAGGCTCTACTGAAAAAATGCTTTTTTTGACTTATCCCCTTATGCCTTTTACCCACAGAGATATAATTTCCGCAGTAAATTCAAACGTCTGATTCAGTCTCCAATATATCTATTGGTTGAGCATAAGCGACGTTGCCGGATTAAAACTTATGAAAATATTTGAAAGTATTACGTAAAAATAACGTCTCCAGGGTACAGTCTTGCGAACAAATTATGAATCACTTAGCTACCAGCTCGTATACTTTTACGGTGCGTATATTCTAAAAATTTTTGACAATATTGTACCACGACAACTACCTTAACAAAACAGTTTTATAACTGGTACCATCAAAACCATATTAATTTTATAAGTAGTTCTTCTTAATTGTCCATTCCATTATATAATTCTTATTATTTTCAATAATCATTTCCACATAGGCATTTTAAAAACTTTGCTTTAAAATAACTTAAATTTATAATTTGAGCAAAAATGTTTGCTATTATAACAACTAATGAACAATTTATATTGTTACTTATTTACTTTGTATGTTGTTTTTGGTTTTTAATTGTACTTTAATTTGTAATAAAGTAGTAATTTGTTAATTAAAATACAATGTTTTATTTTTACTACATTGGCACCGCTGCCACGGCTACTGTTATTTATAAAAAAAATCTATTATTCAAATTAAAAACGTCCACGTTTGCGAAAACCTACTATTTGTCTCACAGGCAAAAAAAAGGACATCTGGTTCAAGCTGGACCCGAAAACCGGCAACAAGGTGCAAGTGATAGGGTGGGGGGACGTGCCCAACCCCACGTGCCCCATTCCCACCAATCATTTCGTTTATATCGGTCGCACCAAGTACAACGTCATGATGGTGGACAGCAAAAACCCCAGGCGGAAGTGGAACGTCACTTATTATGACTACACCGCCGCTGACATGGACGCCATCGAGAGAAACAACTACGGTGAGTGGTGGGGGCGATTTGGCAACGTGTCAATCTAATTAAAATACAGTTCATTTTTTTTTATTTGGACTCGCTTTTTTTTGTTGGTAGCTTATGCCAGTTTGATTGGAGTCCAATGATTGGACAACATTCCCGTGTGTTCACATAAAATTTTAATTTCTTTTATATAAATTCTTTTTAAAGCGAAGATTATTATCCGCTAGGAATACTTTTTCTATCCTGGGCCGTAGTCGCCTATATTTAACTACTTTTTTATATGATTTTAATCATCTACGCACCACCAAAGCCAAATTAATTGCATTTTTAACTAGGAATTTTGACAACTCAACTTGACAACCGTTCAATGTAACCTACAATAATTTAAACATAACCACAATTTCATTATAAGTTTATAACTAGTTTAGTTTGTTTTAATCAATGCAACCAATTTTGGTTCCGTAATTACCAACCAAACCCCTAAATTTTCAATGTTGCCGCAGTCCAGATAAAATAAATGAAAAGTTTTTCAAATTTTCAAAATTCCGCCATATTGGATTTTAATAAAAAAATTAATTTAATGCGTATTGAATTAAAAGTAACATTATTTTTGCTGCTTTAAATATATTTTAGGGAAATATATCCCCAAATACTATAGTGTTTTAAAATAATTATTATCTTTTTTATTATTTTAAAACACTATACAGTGTGTCGCACTTAAGATGAAGACACCCCCATATTTTCGCTATTTGAAGGAATAAAGGTTTGAATTTTTTCACATTCATACATGTTGACTCAACTGAAATCTGAACTTTAAACTTGGCCTACTACAAATTCACAAACAGGGCCAGTTCTCGATATTTTGCTTCGCGTTAGAGATATCGAAAAAAGTTATTGGAAAAAGTTGTTCAGAATATTATTCTAACCCCATATACCAATTTTTATAACAAAATTCGCATTTTTAATTTTTTTTTATTTTGGTCCACACAAAATTATTACAAGTTCATTTTTTTGTTTGATAATAAGGGAGCCATAAATAAATAATTAAAACAATTTTTGGAAATTACAAATCAATTATAATTTATTAAATTAAGGAAATGGTATAAAACAATAATAAAAATAAATAAATTAGAAATGCGAATTTTGCTATAAAAATCGGTATACGAGGTTAGAATAATATTCTGAAAAACTTTTTCTAATAATTTTTTTCGATATTTCTAACGCGAAGCAAAATATCGACAACTGGCCCTGTTTATGAATTCGTAGTAGGCCAAGTTTAAAGTTTAGATTTCAGTTGAGTATCTTAAAAAATGTGACCCACCAACATGTATGAATGTGAAAAAATTCAAATCTCTATTTCTTGAAATAGCGAAAATATGGGGGTGTCTTCATCTTAAATGCGAAACACTGTATATATTTCCGTAAAAATATAGGTTATAATGTCACTTTTAATTCAATTCGCAGACTACGTTCATTTCGCTTCGACATCAAGTGGCCGTTTGGTGACGATGGATCGCGTCACCGGTCAAATAATTTGGGATGGCGACGTTGGCAGCCCTGTAGTGGCCGCCTACATTTTGGACCCCGAGGGTCTTATATCCGTGCCCTTTACCAGTCTAGCCAACCACACCATAACATATTTGGCCAGGCAGCTTTTGACCAGAACACAACAGATGAAGTTGTAGTAAGTTTTTCTTCTCAACTCAGTTTGTTTTTTCGATTTTCGATATGGGTCATTCCATCGTTTCAGGTGTTACATTTGTTCAACCAAAGTCAAATTTTTATGGATTTTGAAATAACATTTTAGCAATTAAAGTGCCTTATTCTCCACGTTTTTAGTTGTTTCATCTAAATTGTAAAATAAGTACAGTTTAGCATATAGGATAACGTTTTATAAGTCAAAAAGTGTGCATTTCAGCGAATTTTCAAAATTCATCAGATTTAATGCGATAGAACATATTTATTTTTTCACCCTCAGTATCGATTGTTATGGAATGACCCATATGCAAAATTCAAATTGAATAAAAATAATACCGCAAAAGGTTTTATTTAAATTGACCGTTTTAGTCCAACACTGTACGTTGGTAACCACGGTTACGGATTGTATGCCATCCCGTCATTGGTCGATTCAAACGTGGTAACCATAACGGCAACAGGACCGGACGGTCCCTTATTATTAGGGGGCCCCTATGCGCCTGAGGAACCGCAGCCTTATGCTGAGTACATAATACCAGGGAGAAACTACAGAATACCAAAAGGTATTAATATATTTTTTTTTGATTTTAGACAATTCTGTTGTGTTACTTTTAGACATCTACGACGATAACTTCCAAAGCATCTCGGACGACAAAATGAAAAGCTACATAATCGTCTATACGGGCCATTACAACGTCCCGGAATTTTCCGACAAAAAATTCATGATATCCGGAAAAGCGGACGGCACGAAGTTGATAACGGACGCAACTTCTGGCGAAACCGTCAAAACGATGGGCCCTCGAAATAAACCGGCCAGCAAGCAGACCCAAACCGAGTCCGTCGGACACGACGTCAAAAAGGAGCAGTGGAGAAAGAAAAATGTTTTTTTGGGTGTTTTTTCATATGGGTTAGTAAAATTAAAGAAATTTGTTTAATAAAACCTATTAATGTTGTTCTATTTAATTTTAGTTCTGTAAACAAAACTTACTGTGATGTTAAACAATGGGTAAATCAGCAGGAAAATAAGGACCTAAAATTGGTTGTCATCATTTTATCTGGTTGTGTTATAGCCATGTTTTGGTATTTAAGGGTAAAAATAACATTAAACATTTTAAAAATATATTTTTTACATTACAAAACCCTGAAAAAGTCTCTTAAATCACCGCAAAACTTCTTGTTAACCAAACCTCTTCTAGGCACAAGTGAGAGACATACAAAATATGTCCCAAAATGGCTCAAAAACGAGTCAACAATCGTACGGCAAAAATGGAGCTATAACAGCAGTGGCAGAAGAATTTCCAGATGGGTTGGTAAAAGTTGGCAAAATAACATTCCACCCAGAGCAAGTCTTGGGAAAAGGTTGTGAAGGAACTTTTGTCTATAGGTAAGTGATTTTTAAAATGGTTTAGACCTTCATTAATTTTTATATTTTCTTCTTTCATTGCATAAATTATTTTTCTCGGATTATTTTGATGTATGATAATATAATTTAAATTGATTTAAATGCACTTAAAATAACAAAAATGTGAATGGCACGCCGTTTTAGCATTTATTAGATAATAATTTGAAGATTAGTTTTTTCTTTAATGATGTTTTAACAAAAATTTAGAAATTTAAACCAAAACGTTTTATTTTCAACAATTTTAAATTGATACATTTCTAACACAAAATTGATTAAATCATAGAAATTAACATTTAAATCAAAATTAATATCAAATTAACATTTAAATCATAGAAAAAGGATTTAAATGTAAGTCGATACTTTTTTATTTACTATATACAGGGTGTTTCATAATATATGCGCAGGACTTCAGGATGTGATAGCTCATCCAAAAAGATGAAAAAAGTCGCTATTAACTTACCCTCTAAAATGCACAATTTTCGAGATACAGGGTGTTGAAATTTTAGAAAAAAAATCGTTTTTTAGATTATCTCTGGAACCGTTTATCGTACAAAAAACAGCTTTTGTAAGCATTTTCTACTCATAATAATCTATGTTTTGTGCCAGAAAAAAATTTTTTTTACTCATAATTGGTGGAGATTTTGAAGGGGTAGCGGGTGTTTTTCTCCTCAACTTCAACGCCCCTGAAAAAAGTACGGTTTTGAGAGGCCCATTCGAACCGCCAATGTTTTCTACACAAAAAAGGTACTCTTGGTCATAAGCTCTAAAGTTGACCGTTTTCGAGAAAAATCAACTTTTATGTTTAAAAACATGGTCAATTTTTTGAAAAAAAATTTTTATTACTAATTAAACAAAATTTATTTTAACGTTAGAAAAAGTAACAAAACCAAACGATAATTGCAAAATTAAAAAAAAATAAAAAATGATTTTTTACTCAAATGTTGAAATGTGCGAAATGCGTTACCTTTACGGTTTGGAGAATTAAGCAAAGACAACTTTTAAATCATTTTTTATTTTGCAATTATGGTTTGCAACGTTAAAATAAATTTTATTTAATTAGTAAAAAAAATATATTTTTTTTTAAATTGACCATGTTTTTAAACATAAAAGTTGATTTTTCTCGAAAACGGTCAACTTTAGAGCTTATGACCAAGAGTACCTTTTTTGTGTAGAAAACATTGGCGGTTCGAATGGGCCTCTCAAAACCGTACTTTTTTCAGGGGCGTAGAAGTTGAGGAGAAAAACACCCGCTACCCCTTCAAAATCTCCATCAATTATGAGGAAAAAAAATTTTTTCTAGCACAAAACATAGCTTATTTTGAGTAGAAAATACTTACAAAAGCTGTTTTTTGTACGATAAATGGTTCCGGAGATATTCGAAAAAAAGTCAAAAATAATACATTATCTTTGTATATAGTCGGTGAAACGTACAATGCGCGAAGTCTGTAGCTGAATGCTGTAATTCAGCTAAAGCAGCGTTTACATTTTGTGAATTAAAAATTATCGACTTATATTTAAATTTAATATAAATATGTTTATGTTAAAAATGTATCAACTTAAATTTGTTAAAAATAAAAGTTTTTGGTTTAAATTTCTCAACAGTCATTTAAATGGTAGTGATAAAATTTTAATCCAAAAATTACATTTACATTTAAATGTAATGTGAGAATTTTTGTATTAAAAATCTATCAACCATCATTCTTTACAAATTTAAACCAAAAATTTTGTAGAATAAAATATTAAAACATTTGCATTTTATATTTAAAATATGTTTTGATTATTAATTCTTTCAAGATTAAAAAAAATAACTTTTTAAACTATTTTGGTAGAAAATGTTTTATATGTGTTTTTATTTTAAATACTATTTTTTAATACTAAACAATTTAACTTTACCAAATTAATCTAAATAATTTTATAAAAAAATTATTTAGGATTTACAAAATTTTTGCCCAAATAAATTAGGTATATACTTAAGAAATTATTTTTATTAAAAAATGTTTGCAAAAATTGATTGGAAATAATATTGTTTAATACAGAAGTAAAGTGTCTTTCAATACATGATAGTTGAAAATATTTTAAATTTATAAATGTAAACCTAAAATTTTTAGTTAAGAAAATTTTAAACCAATTAAGTTTTAAATTAAAAATATATTCAATGAATGTGTAAATCACTTTAAATGCAATGGTTCGGAAATTCTTATTTTTGAGTATCAAAAAATAATGTTGCAAAATTCGTCCACATTTAATTAATCTATATAAATATACTTTGTTATGAAAAAAAATCATTAAAAATTAATGTTTAATCCCAAATAAAAACAGTATCAGGGCTCCCACAGCTCCTAAAACTCATAAAATTCCTAAAATATCTAAAGTTCTCCTAAAATTGCCATCAATCTCTTAAAACTCCTAAAAATTAAATATAATATGACTGCGTTTAATTAAGGTAGTTGTCATGCAAAAAATTTCTTTATTAAAAAGTAATTAAAAAAATATATATTTTTAGGTTGAAGTTAATTAAATTATTTTTAAAATAATATATCGCAACCTACATTTTCCCAAAAAAAAACACAAAATATACCTAAAAAACAAAATCCATGTAGTTTGTTTTTGAAAAAAATATACCGTGTTATATATCAAACAAATTAATTTTTCTTTTAAAATAGTAAACAATCTAAAGAATGTTTTGCTGTATTATGCAAACTTTATAATTTTTCTATTATGAGATTTTTCAGTAACAAGATTCACATTACAAGTATTTTAGTTATTAACTAAACGGTTAACATTTTTTTCTTAAAATATAAATGTAACATTATTGGACTTTGGCCTAGTTTTTTAGCCAAATCTATCGACGCGGTTTTTTAAATAAAATTAAAAAACACCCAACTACTTTAGCTTATTTTTACTAATCGATTCGGCAAATACGAACTGCACTTATCACTTCAAAACAAAATAAAACAATGCACAAAAAATTTGTTTTTAATAAAAAGCTGTAAATAAAGGTAAGCATTTTAAACGTAGTTTCACACTAAATATTAAAAAGAATGGTTATGGCGGCACAGTAAACGCAACCGTTTGAAAACTTGCATTATTTTAATTTATGGATTACAATTTAATACATTCCATATATTCGTGAGGTAATCCACTTCAATTTTGGTAAAAATAAATTAAAAAGAAATGTAACTTATCTGGAATTTCATAAGGATTTTAAAAATGGCGAAATAAATAGGGGTTTCTATTTAAAATTTTAGGGGTAGGTGCTTTGGAGGTAATTGGGTTAAATGTAATACAACAACAAATACCTCAACAGTTGTCCCCCTTGATATGTAAATTGACGTGTTTCGCCAAATTTTATAGTGTCATCAGAAATATTAAGTGCTGTTCGTTTTTAAATTGTCACCCTGTATACAAAAGTAGTAGTTACCTAACTTTTAATTTTATTAAAAAAAAACTCGTCGAGCGATTTGGCTATTTATTTATATTTTTGTTGATAATAATTATTTATTTTTGTCTTATTTTTTAAGTACAGTGTGGAGTTGTTTTTATTTAATTACATAAATTCATTTGCATACTTTATTTCTGCTAAAATTCTCCAAAAAACCTTCTAAATTCCTAAATAATTTAATCGCAGTATTTTTGTTGACGTTTATCCAACATGAAAAGATGTGTTAAAATCAATTTTTAGACCATTTAAAGTACCCCCACAAAAATTACATTATCATTATACATCAAATAAATTCTAAAGACTCGATGAACGTTGTAAGTTATAACGCATAACTTTTGGCAGAGGTGAGTTCGATAGCAGACGCGTCGCTGTTAAAAGGCTCCTCCCTGAGTGCTTCACGTTTGCGGACAGAGAGGTCGCGCTGCTGCGCGAGTCGGATGCGCACCCGCACGTTATCCGCTACTACTGCATGGAGCAGGACAAAATGTTCCGCTACATCGCGCTGGAGCTGTGCCAGGCCACTTTGAAGGACTACGTCCAGGGCGATAGGAGCAAATCCATGAAGAAATTGAGGCCTTTGGATATTTTGTATCAGGCCACGACCGGGCTGGCGCACCTGCATTCGCTGGATATCGGTGAGTTTCGTGCAAATCCTGCTTAGTAGGATTTATATAAGGGTCATTCCATCGGTTAGGGTGTTACATTTGTTCAACCAAAGTCTAAATTTTTATGTATTTTGAAATAACATTTTAGCAATTAAAGTGCCTTATTCTCTACGTTTTTAGTTGTTTTTTCTAAATTGTAAAATAAGTACAGTTAAGCATATAGGATAAGGATTTTATAATTCGAAAAGTGTGCGTTTCGGGTGTTTCACGATTCTGCCTCTATGTCCTGACCATTGTTACATTTATTTAAAATTCAGCGAATTTTCTCAGGGAAACATTCCTAGGCCTCCAAAAGTATATTTACTAACCATCTACCACATAATCACTGTCACAAATAACGTTTTACTATTTTTTTGTATAAAATTTTACTTTGTTTAGGGTGTTACAAGTAAAAAAATTAAACACTTTATATGTGCAAAATCGTTGTTTTATTAGTCTTTAGGTACACCAAAATAAATAAGTAACAAATAAACATAAATATAATGAATTCTCCTTTAACATAACTCGTTATTATTGCCGAAAATCGGGAAAAAAAATCGGTAGAAACATAATTATTAACGAAAATCTTAGTATTCGGTATTTTGGTAGGTCCATTGCCATTTCGGTAGAAATGCCGCAATTTCGGTAGGTTCGACAACACCATCGGAAAAGCACCTCTTTAAAGGAGGTGTGACTGCTTTTTCGATGGCGGCGCTAGTGGGCCGTCGAATGAGCCTTAAAAATAATACTTTATTATTCAAGCAATACACACACATATATCGACATATGAAAAAAGTTGTAACACCCGAAACGTTTTGTGTCAAGAAAAACATATCAAATTAGTCTCATGCTCAGATATTAGTTCGTATTTTAAATCAATACCACCATAACGTTACTTTTACTAAATATTATTACACTAATCAATCTGTAAGGTATAATAATGAAATAATTACATGATTTTTCGTTTCGGGTGTTACATGTTACTGCAGTGGCAAAGTAACAAGAAATCACACTTATAACGTGATAATTATCAATTTTTTCGGGACTGTGACGCAATCCACGAATACTACTATAAAATTTATCGTGGCGGCTGGTGGATTTTGGGTATACCAATATCTCAGTTATTAGACATGGGACCCACACCAAATTTATAATAGTTTATAATGACATTAAATAAACAAGTTCGGCGCAAACAAAATTTAAATTGAAGTTTGCTAAAAAAAGTTAGTTTTTCCTGTTGCCTCACCCGCCTCCAGGCCCCCCTATTTGAGATAATTTAAATTAAAGTGTTGCAATTTATTATCTACTATAATTTATTGACAAATTTAAAATTTTATTTAAAAAATCCAAATATTACAGGTGTTATACCATTTTAAATATATTTTTATCTTAATAAAATAAATAATAAAAATTTAAAATCAAATAAAATCTTTAATATTTGGATTTTTTAAATAAAATTTTAAATTTGTCAATAAATTATAGTAGATAATAAATTGCACCACTTTAATTTGAATTATCTCAAATAGGGGGGCCTGGAGGCGGGTGAGGCAACAGGAAAAACTAACTTTTTTCCGCAAACTTAATTTAAATTCTGTTTGCGCCGAAATTGTTTATTTAATGTCATTATAAACTATTATAAATTTGGTGTGGGTCCCATGTCTAATAACTGAGATATTGGTATACATAAAATCCACCAGCCGCCACTGCGATAAATAACCTCAAATCACAATGTAACAAAACGGTTGACAGATTTACAGTTTTTTTTGTATTTTCAATAGTTAGAGGCACAATGGTCATTCAGCCAGTTAGTTCACTTGAGTACAGATTTTGAAGACTAATTAACTTAAAATTACGCGTTTCTTCTGTTTTTTTGTCGCACATTAATTTGGAATGTTTTCTTTCAAAATTCATCAAATTTAATGCAAAAAGAACATATTTATTTTTTCACCCTCAGTATCTTTTGTCGTGGAATGACCCATAACATGGACTGAATTGCAAACAAAATATTCTCTTTCAGTTCACAGAGATATAAAACCGCACAATGTTTTGCTGTCCGTGCCCGATAATAAGGGCGAAGTTCGCGCAATGATTTCCGATTTCGGACTGTGCAAAAAATTGCAAGTCGGTAGGATGTCGTTTTCCAGAAGATCCGGAGTTACCGGAACGGACGGATGGATAGCACCGGAAATGCTGTTGGGAAACGAAAGAACGGTAAAAAGATTATAACGTCGTAACGGGAATTTTCGTTTTTTGTGGAATCCCATACATTAATGTTCAAAATAATATTTCAATCCCTAAAACACTCATTCTTTGGAATAGCTTTGTGGGTCTTTCAGCGATGCGCTTTAAAATCTCATCTGAGCTTGTCAAACGCGCCTTTTAGGTTTTTTTTTATTTTTGAGAACAAAAAAGTCTCCCAGGGCCGTGTCTGATAAATATGGAGGCTGAACAGAACAACAAAATCGCGTGAATCGGGAAAAACGAAAATTCCAGTTACGTTTCAAACGCACCTCGTTGTTGGAACTTTATCTCGTTGCAGACCTGCGCAGTGGATTTGTTTTCGTTGGGTTGCCTGTACTACTACGTTTTATCCGAAGGATCGCATCCTTTCGGCGACGCTTTAAGAAGACAAGCGAATATCCTCTCCGGCGAATTCGATTTAGCTGACTTGAAAGGAGACGATTGGCAGAAACAAGTGCAGATTCCTCTACTATCGGCACTAATTTCATCCGTCCCGAAAAATCGACCCGAATGCAAGGTATTGTTCGTTAAGTGAATGAAAAAGATTGGGTAAACTTTGCCACCTTTATATCTCCAAAACTTTTGGAGAAATAAAGTTAAAAATTGCAACATTTAATGAAATACCGGTTCTTAAAAAAACATCCAATCTTTTTCACTCCCTGAACAAACTATATTGAAAATTATTTTCTTAAGGTGGTTCTGAGGCACCCAATGTTCTGGTTGAGTTCCAAGATCTTATCGTTTCTGCAAGATGTGAGCGATAGGGTGGAAAAATCGGGTCCGGAAGATCCAGTTCTGCTCTCCTTGGAGGACAACGGTCTGTCCGTGGTCAGGGGGGATTGGAGGCACCGTATTCACGAGGAAGTGGCTAAAGATTTGCGCAAATACCGGACGTACAGGGGGGAGAGCGTCAGGGATTTGCTCAGAGCGCTTAGAAATAAGGTAAGAAGTTTTTTTGTAAATTCTAGCAAATAATTTTATTAAAGTCAAAGTTTTGTTCTTGAAATTAAAAATACACATAATTTTTAATTTCAGAAACACCACTTTAGAGAGCTAACCAAAGAAGCGCAAAACTACTTAGGGGAAATCCCGGAAAACTTCACAAACTATTGGACAAGCAGGTTTCCCCTACTCTTAGTGCATTCGTGGATAACCATGCAAGTAGTTTTTCACGAAAAAACCTTCAGTAATTATTACCACAAAGACTACTTGTACTCACTAGCAAATTATCAAGACCAAGTTGATAGTTACATAAGAGAAAACCCAATTGAAATTCTGCCGGAAAATAAAAACATTCTGGAACATTTCGAGAAAAAAAATAGCGAAAACTACGAGTATTCTCCCAAATATAATAATAAAAGTCCTAGAAAAAACGTTCAAAGAATATCGTTTCAAGACCAAAGACCTGTAGAAAATGTGGGTCTATACAGAAATCTACAACCCAATCAAGTGAATGTAGAAGATATAAAAATATCTTTCAACGATTCCAAACCTCAACACAGAAACAACAATTTGAACTTTCGAAGAAATTCAAACGCAAAAAAAAAGAAAAAATCAGATGAGCCTATAGTATGGGCCACAAAAGACATTAAAGAATGACTATACTTTTATTTTTAAGGTATTAAACTGTGATAATAAAGTTTTTAATTTTTAATGCAGAGTGTTGCAAATAAATGGCATGCCAATATTTACAACACCCTGTATATTCACTTAATTGTTAGGTGTTTTTAGTGGGTGTACAAAATATTTTTAATATATTAATTGTTTGTCAAATCTATGTTTTAATAAATATATTTTAAAATAACCACTTATTTTTTTTTTCACCTTTCGCAGACGGTTGGATTGCACCGGAAATGCTGTTGGGAAACGAAAGAACGGTAAAAAGTTTATAACGTCGTAACAGGAATTTTCGTTTTATGGGGAATCTTATACACTAATGTTCAAAATTATCTTTTAATCCCTAAAACACTCATTCTTTGAAATAGCTTTGTGGGTCTTTCAGCGATACGCTTTAAAATCTCATCTGAGCATGTCAAACGCGCTTTTTAAGGTTTTCTGGATTTTTGAGAACAAAAAAGTCTCCGAGGGCCATGTTGATAAATATGGAGGCTGAAATCGCGTGAATCGGAAAAAAAACGAAAATTCCCGTTACGTTCCAAACGCACCTCGTTGGAACTTTATCTCATTGCAGACCTGCGCGGTGGATTTGTTTTCGTTGGGTTGCCTGTAATACTACGTTTTATCCGACGGATCGCATCCTTTCGGCGACGCTCTAAGAAGACAAGCGAATATTTTTCGGCGAATTCGATTTAGCTGACTTGAAAGTAGACGATTCCTCTACTATCGGCACTAATTTCATCCGTCCCGAAAAATCGACCCAAGTGCAAGGTATAGGTCGTTAAGTGAATGAAAAAGATTGGGTAAACTTTGCCACCTTTATATCTCCAAAACTTCCGGTTCTTAAAAAAACATCCAATCTTTTTCACTCCGTGAACAAACTATATCGCACATTATTTTCTTAATGTGGTTCTGAGGCACCCAATGTTCCAAGATCTTATCGTTTCTGCAAGATGCGAGCGATAGGATTTAAAATCTGGTCCGGAGGATCCAGAACGTTCTGCTCTCCTTGGAGGACAACGACTTGCCTGTGGTCAGGGGGGATTGGAGGCACCGTATTCATGAGCAAGTGGCTAAATATTTGCTCAAATACCGGACTTACAGGGGGGAGAGCGTCAGGGATTTGCTTAGAAATAAGGTAGGAAGTTTTTTTTGTAAATTCAAGCAAATAATTTTATTAAAATCACACCACTCTAGATAGTTCACCAGAGAAGCGCAAAACTTCTTAGGGGAAATCCCGGAAAACTTTAAAAACTTTTGGACAAGCAGATTTCCTCTTCTCTTGGTGCATTCATGGATAACCATTCAAGTAGTTTTTCACGAAAAAACCTTCAGTAATTATTACCACAAAGACTACTTATACTCAATAGCAAATTTTCAAGACCAAGTTGATAGTTACATAAAAGAAAACCCAATTGAAATGGTGCCGGAGAATAAAAACATTCTGGAATATTTCGAGAAAAAAAATAGCGAAAGCTACGAGTATTCTCCCAAATACAACAATAAAAAGTCCTAGAAAAAACGTTCAAAGAATATCATTTCAATACCAAAAACTTGTAGAAAATTTGGGTCCATACAGAAATCTACAACCAAATCAAGTGAATGTAGAAGATTAAAAATATAATTCAACGATTCCAAACCTCAACACAGAAACAACTATTTGAACTTTCGAAGAAATTAAACCGCAAAAAAAACAGATGAGCCTCTAGTATGGGCCACAAAAGACATTAAAGAATGACTATACTTTTATTTTTAAGTTATTAAACTGTGATAATAAAGGTTTTAATTTTTAATGCTGTGTTGCAAATAATTGGCATGCCATTAATTTACAACACCCTGTATATTCACTTAATTTTTAGGTGCTTTTAGTTGGTGAACGTACAAAATATTTTTAATATATTAATTATTTGTCAAATCTTTGTTTTAATAAATATATTTTAAAAGAATAATTCACGCACTTATTTTTATTCACCTATCCTGGAAACCACTGAAAGTTGCGTTGGAACAAAGACATTTATTTGATTTACACTTGGCATATACTTACTGGTAAGTATATGACACTTGGCTGCACTGCCGCCCTCTATAATCAACACTCGGAACTGCATAGTTCCAACAAACTGACGTAGGTGACGTTTGTATCAAAGTTTCAAACCGTTTTATTGACATTTTTGTGCGGTGAATTCTTCGAGATATAATCAAATTAAAGCCTTAAAACGCAATTAATACTGTGCAAACAAAATGTAGTGATGAATTGGAACACGCTGTAGTACCCGTATAATAATTGTTGCAGTATAAATACAACATAACCTAAGTTTTGAATTGTCACCGGATAACATTAAAAATACACGAAATGAGCGGTTTTAACTATTCAAACTTTAAGCCCAGCTCGAATTCCACGAAGAAGCACAATGCTGTGCCCCCACCGCCCACCAGTGGGGTCAGTAAACAAGGTTATTCGACTATGAATGCTATAAGTCAGAATGCCTTATCGGCTGCTTGGGGGGGCAGTAGAAAACGTGCTGCCACCGAAGACGAGTAAGTTTTGTATATTTTTTTTAATGAAACTTTAATTTGTAATAAAGTATTAATTTGTTAATTAATATTTAACTATTAAAATATATTTTTTTTTAATACATTGGCATTATTAAATTTGCTGTCACGTTAGGAATGTCAATTTTATCTTAAAATATTAAATTTTTTAGCAGAAGTTTAATTTGCAGATACTTTGTTTTTTGTCATTATTATTGTAAAATGCAAAGATTTAAAAAAATTGCGTTTATTTACTAATTTCAAAAAACGATAGGCATTGAAAATGTCTTATGGGGATCCTCTTATTATATGATTCAAGGTTTATCTATGTTTATATACTTCAAAGTTTATCCATGCTTCATATACTCGAAGGTAACGGTTTTTTTATTATTTTCCCTTAAAATTGAATGCACGATGACATTATAATATGACAATTATAACAAAAATTCTTTGACGTAAACGTCTTTTTATAGCCCGCGGGCGTTATTATGACCCAGCGGGCTATAATGAAACGTCAAAAATTAAAAACAATTGGCGCAAAACTATGAGCTTATTTTATTTTAAATTTATATTAACAATACAGTTATTACAATTAGTCATGTTTATGTTGGGTGGTACAATTTGATTTTGGGTACTATTAATACATAAATAACTATTATGCACGATGACATTATAATATGACAATTATAACAAAAATTCTTTGAACTAAACGTCTTTAAAAACAATAATATATTAAAAATAATAATATATTAATCGTGCATAAAGTTTTGTATGCATTGCTGGCATAACTGGTTTTTATTATGCCCTTAATACATAATAACTATTATGCACGATGACATTATAATATGACAATTATAACAAAAATTCTTTGACGTAAACGTCTTTTTATAGCCCGCGGGCGTTATTATGACCCAGCGGGCTATAATGAAACGTCAAAAATTAAAAACAACAATGTTACACCATTTGATATATTCGCGCTCGGGCTCGAAATAGCGCCTCGGACCATAAAAACCTTATTAAGTATGCCCTTAATACATAAATAACTATTATAATTGTTTTCTTTTTCATTATCTCAATAGTGAAGCAATATTTTCGTTGTTCAACTAGTGTAACAATAACGTCATTTTAAATTGTCTTATGGTGGATATTGGTATTGTATGATGATACTCTTGAACATGTTTTAATGACAAATATTAGAAGTTTTGACTTTGTTATCTATGGTTTTGACCCATAAGACATTTTCATTGTCAATATTTTCTGAAATCTGGAAAAAAAATTAAAGCAACTACAATTCCATTAAAATATATATATATGTAATATAACATTAACATTAACATTTTTTGGCATTAAAATGTCCAATGTATAATATATATGTTAATGTTAATTTCGTTCCGGCGATGTGGACAGTGTCGGCTCGTCAGGGAGGCTCAGCCGTTTCAAAATTACTCCAATAGTTTTATTTAATTATGTACCTATTATAATTGTACTACTTAAATGCTAATTAATTATGATTAATATCCAAAAATTTTACTTATTTTAAACTCGCTGCGTTAGTAGAAATAATAATAGATGGCGGGTAAAAAAAATTAAAATCGTAAATTAGGCACTAAAGAGCTTAAATTCAATGATAAATCTGACGCAGATAGTGTATTTATGTTTTGAAAATAATAGCTTTTAACGACATCTGTACCAGGATCATTAGAAAGAACACTATGGTGAGGCTTACTTTATTAGGCAATTAGCAGCCTGATTACTTTGACTTACCACGAGCCGCCACTGGATGTGGATTTGAGCACAACATACAAAAACCGGTATGCTGATGCGCATGTTATAGCTATCTCTCTCGCACCGTGTAACGTCATGTGCGAACCAAAAGCTGGCGGGTAACTGGCTTGGAATGTTATTTGCACTGCAAATTCTCGTTATATTCGAAAATTTATAAATATAGGGACGCCCTGGGTGCAATTATTAAGTGTCACAAATGTTAAGAGAAATTGGCAGCAAGCGCTTTTAATAACATATTTTAAGCAACAATTAATTTCCAACCTTTGTATTATTATTTTTCAAAATATTTTTTATTTAATTGAATTAACTTAACTTGGGCTACACCGAATTTTACATTTTTTTTAAGTGAAAGGTAACAAAATTATAAAAATGCATTTATATAGGTAATAATAACGCACGCCCGCTTTAAAGAGTCAAGAGTAAAAAAAAATCTCAAAACTGATTTTGAAGCTGGTTTCCGATACAATGGTGTTTTCATTTTTATTATTAATAAAACCCTATGCAAGCTGAAAAAAAAAATGTGGTTAGGGAGAAAAGTTACTATATATAACCTAACAGAAAATTGGGTAGACTAACAATTGCCTTTACTTACCGTTTTTTATATTCATTTTATTCTTTCTTTTGCATGCCTTCATCCACTGTGCTGCCAGATCTTTATTGTTTGGAAATCGAAAATATTACATGTTAGGTTAGGTTGGGTTTTGAAGTTTCTTCCCATATTTCTGCTGCCTGCTACTGCACAGCCCGGCATATTTTAAATAGTTCTTATGTCCAACAAATATAACACAAACTTAATAAATATCCTGCTGTTCAACAAATGCAGTAAAAACTTTACAAAAAACGTTGCTAAACCATCGTGCGTGGCTTATACTTAAAAAAAACACAATTATTTATGCAAAACTGTTTGTAACATTTGAATCTGGTTCGCACGTGACGTCACATGCGCGGAGTGGACCAGTTTTCGTTTCATAACCAGCATGCCGGTTTTTGTGTATCGTGGATTTAAGTATAGGTGGTTTCTGGAAATTTTGTAGCGATATTGTTTAGATATTTCGAGGAAGACGAAGAAGAGCAAGTGCCAGAGTTGGCGTATATTCCGGCGCCGGGAAGTCCCACCTATGACGAGATGCAGAGGAAGAAGCAAGAGGAGCAGGAAGAAGATGATCCGCTAGACGCCTACATGGCTGGGATAGAACAACAGGTGTTAATTTTTTACAATACATTGTGTCTAACAAATGTTGTCGTACTTTTAAACGGTTAAAACGTGTGACATCTTTTGACCAGATGCAAAAGCAACCGTCCACCTCGTCGAACGAAAAGAAGGAGAAAGCCGTTCGCAACGATTTGGAGGAAGAGGACGTGGAAGAGTCGTACTACCGGTACATGGAGGAGAACCCCAACGCCGGCTTGGCGCCGGTGGACGAGGACAACCCCGACGTCGAGTACGACGAGGACGGGAACCCGATCGCGCCCGACAAAAAAAAATTCATCGACCCCCTACCGCCGATAGATCACTCTGAGATCGCGTACAAACCGTTCAGGAAGGACTTCTACGACGAGCACCCGGACATCGGCTCGCTGACGGGCGCTCAGGTCGCAGAGTTGCGCAAAACTTTCGATATCACCGTCAGCGGCGGCCACCCGCCGAAGCCGGTGGCGTCCTTCGCTCACTTCGGCTTCGACGATAAACTGCTGAAGGCGATTATCAAGGCGGAGTACGCGTCGCCCACCCCCATTCAAGCTCAGGCGGTGCCTTGCGGGCTAATGGGCAGAGACGTGCTCGGCATCGCTCAAACAGGTGAGTGAACAACGTTTTTTAAAAATTACAATTTGGCAACGTTGCAGGCAATCTGGCAACATTGCACGAGATCTTGCAACTTTGCCCTTACATTTGACATGTTTACAAATTTATGGTGCTATTCTCTAAAAACTGATTAACATTATGTTAATTTAACATTATGCTAATAACATAGCCCTAGACCAATAATGTTAAAAACCCATTTAAGATTGTCAAACCACATTTTATAGAATGTCAAAAATACATGGTGAAAATCGAAAAATATTTAAAAGTCAAGATCTATTTTAAAACTAAAAAAAATTAAAACGTCTTCTTCTTTCTTGGTGGCTCAACGCCTTAATGGTCTTGGAATCACTGTACCATTTTGACCAGCAACAAGTTTTTAACGTCCTTGAGTTTCACGAAGCCATCCACTCACGGACATGTGGAATTTCAAATCTTGAAACATCTACTAAATCGATTGCACAAATCACAAAATTCCTCGCTGAAAGGACAAAGCTTGTGATATTCAAAATTTAAGAAAAATGAGTTTCCTTGTAAAATGTATTATTTGAAACGTTTGAAAAACAAAAATTAACATTAACAACAATAGTCGGCTATGAAAACAATTTATAACAAATGTTCGAAATGTCGTCATTCCATTTCAACACATTTTTGAATGCGGGTAATGAATTCTGGCACACAACGCGCCAACATGTCGGGCGGTATCGCCGCACAGGCGTTCCTGATCCGCTCCACCATGTCCTCCCAAGTTGTAGGAATTGCAGCGTAAACTTTTTCTTGGAAGAAGTCTGTTGGCGTAAGATCAGGTGATCGAGCAGGCCAAATTACTGGACCACGTCTACCGATCCACCGCGGTGCACCGGCCATTGAACTCCCGATCCAACACCTCTCGAGCAATTGCCGAATAATGTGCAGGACAACCATCTTGCTGGTACCACATGTTTTGGAGCCGTGCTAGTGGTACATCCTCCAAAAGGTCCGTCAGATCGTTTTCTAGAAAATTCCGGTATTTTTCGCCATTTAATGCACCGTCAATAAAGAATTAATCGTTCGCTTAAGGTACCGCACCAAACGTTTACAGACCACGGACGCTGGTGCTCCACTTGGTGTCGAAATGGAAGGACGACATTTCGAACATTTGTTATAAATTGTTTTCAGAGCCGACTATTGTTGATTTAATGTTAATTTTTGTTTTTCAAACGTTTCAAATAATACATTTTACAAGGAAACCCCTTTTTCTTAAATTTTGAATTACAGCGCCATCTGTTGATAAATTGAAAAAAACTTTCAAATAAAAGTTATTCATTTTTTTATGTACTACCAAAATCTGTGAAAAAAATCGGGTCATCCATTTTGACTTTCCAAAGTTACCCCCCGTTTCACACTTAAGGAGGGGTAGGGGGTGGCTAGCGGTAGCACCAAATAATGTCCCCTTTGGTCACATTAACCTTTTATTTAAGACATTTTTCCGTGAAATGCATATTTCTCGATATATTGAGCTGTCTCAAATTAAAAGAAACACCCTGTATGTCAATTTGGGTTATAATTTATTTTAGGAAGTGGTAAAACTGCGGCCTTTTTGTGGCCCCTACTCAAGCACGTTTCGGCTCAGAACCCCGTGGAAGAGGGGGAAGGTCCGGCTGCATTGATTTTGGCCCCCACCAGAGAGTTGGCCATTCAGATTTATACCGAGGCCAAAAAGTTCGCAAAAATTTACGATTTAAAAGTCGTATGTGCTTACGGGGGCGGGTCCAAGTGGGAACAAAGTTTGGTAAGTTTTTTTTTTAAAACCTTCTATTTCCACTTTTCTTATTTTCAAAATTTTGAAAAATTTAAAAACATTCTAGAATGTTAAATTAAAACCATATGTAAAGTCGGTTTTATATAGATGCGAAATGCCAATATTCGCATTTCGAAACTCCTATTTCATATAGATGCGAACTATTTTAGGGACATTGTTTTCTCACTAGACGATATTTTCCATGCTATTTTAGGTACTAGTACATAGTACTAGTTAGTTAAGGTGACTATAAAGGTAAAATAAAAAACATTAGTGTACCTCAAAAAACTCTGTGCCCATTGCAAAAAACAAAAAAAACTTTGAACACTTATTTAAACAGTTTGAATAAAACTCAACAAAAAAGAACACTATGATACAAACGAAATAAATATAAATGGTGTAGGTATGATAAGGGTCATTCCGTCGTTTCGAGTGTTCATTTGTTCAACCAAAGTCATAATTTTTATGTATTTTGAAATAACATTTTAGCAATTTAAGTGCCTTATTCTCTTCTTTTTTAGTTGTTCTATCTAAATTGTAAAGGTAGTACAGTTTAGCATATAGGACAGCGGTTCTTAACCTTTTTGGCTGGCGACCCACAATTCAAAAATATTAGAAGCTCGCGACCCGATAAAAAATAAAATTATCAATTTTCTACATTTTATTAATTTAAATTAAGGATGCAGTGATTACGGCGCGCTTTTTCAAAAAGTCCCGCAAGTCCCGCGACCCATCTCGATATGGCCCGCGACCCAAATTTGGGTCGCGACCCGAGGTTAAGAAACGATGATATATGATAACGATTTTATAAGTCGAAAAGTGTGCGTTTTGGGTGTTTCACGATTCTGCCTCTATGTCCTGACCATTGTTAGATTTATTTGAAATTCAGTGAATTTTCTTAGGGAAACATTCCTAAAAATGACAGGCCTCCAAAAGTTTAATATTTACTAACCATCTACCACATAATCACTTTTACAAATAACGTTTTGCTATTTTTCTATAAAATTTTACTTTGTTTTGGGTGTTACCATGGTTCTGTTTAGGGTGTGACAAGTACAAAAATTAAACACTTTATATGGACAAAATCGATGTTTTATTAGTGTCTAGGTGCTACAAAATAAGTTAGTAACAAATAAACATACATTTAAATCGTTATTATTGCCAAAAATCGGTAGAAACATAATTATTGACAAAAATTTAGTATTCGGTATTTTGGTAGGACCGTTGCCATTTCGGTAGAAATACAGAAATTTCGGTTGGTTCGACAACAACATCGGAAAAGCAGTCTCGTTAAAAGATGTGTGACTGCTTTTCCGATGGCGGCGCTAGTAAAAAAAACATATCAAATGTTCAGGATATTAGTATTTTAAATAAATACCACCATAACGTTACTTTTACTAGGTATAATATAATATAAAAATATTATTACACTAATCAATCTGTAAGGTATACTAATAAACCAATTACATGATTTTTCGTTTCGGGTATTACAGTGTCAAAGTAACAAGAAAACACACTTATAACGTGATAATTATTAATTTTTTCTGAACTGTGACGCAATCCACCAATACTACGAGTAATAACCTCAAATCAGAACGTAGCAAAACGGTTGACAGATTGACAGTTTTTGTTTTTTTCGTATTTCCAATAAGTAGTTAGAGGCACAATGGGCATTCAGCCAGTTCACTTAACTTAAAAATTACGCGTTTCTTCTAGTTTTTTTGTGTCGCACATTATAATTTGGAATGTTTTCTTTAAAATTCATCAAATTTAATGCGAAAAGGACATTTGCATGCCAAACGCAAAATATTAAATCAATCCCAAGATTCCCGCCCCCTAGATTTAAAATCTTGCGAATTCGCAGGATCTGTCGAAACGTCTAAACGCTTTTCCCTCCAAATCAAATGGACCAATAGGAGCATTTTTCGCATTTCGCAACTGTATAAAACCGACTGAGGGGTTACACACTTAAAAATATTTACTCAAAATTTCCTCAAGATCGGAGCACTAGAACTTTTGTTATAGCAATTTATAGCGCGCTTTCTCACGAAAATTTAAAGGCAAATTGAATGAACTTAATTAAAACTTTAAACGCGTTTATCTCGGAATCGTATTTTTTGAAAAGTGCCGTTGCCGTGAGCACGATTTCTAAAATTGTTGTACCCTTGAAAATCGAAAATCACCGCCCATTTGCGTGAAATTTTTTTTTTTGCGAAACCCTTGATTCACGAACGGGGCGATACCATGTACTTATATGGTTTTCTTTTTTATTAAGATCTGTTGGGCGGTTTACCATATTTCATGCTCACCGCAAACTCTTGAAAAAAAGGAGTTTCGGAGCAAGGGCCGTATTTTCCACAATTTTCCATATTTTTGCATACAATTACAAACACTTCGTAACTTACCCTATTCGATGCAATATAGTTCGTTTCAATATAATTATTATTATATACCAAAAAAAATCACCAAAAAACCGTTAATTTTTCTTCTTCTTCAATCTGAACACAGAAGCACTGTGTTAAGGGGTAATGGCCTTTAGCTTAATTAAAAGCTGATTGGCCAGGTCATTATGTTTAAAAAAAAAATTAATATGATCAAGAGAATCTGAGTTTACCTCATCCCTTGAGTCATTTATCTATTATCTATATTCTTACTGTTTATGGTTTATTTCAAAATTATCTGTTTTCCGTCTCATAAATTTAAATTTATTTCATCGTCTATATATTTTTTTCTTGTTTCTATGACTATGAGTATTTTCACTATTATTCTTGCTTTATTTATTTGTTCTTGATTTATTCATTTATTCCATTTCCCATACATACACCTTTTACAAACATCCATATAAATTTCTTCTTTCATTAATAATTCTATTTTTTTCTTCAAATATATCTAGAGTTCAATCAGTATTTTCATTTTATTTTATCTAAATTAACATTTTCATCTACCTACATCAACATTTTTTAAATTCATTTCAACCATGCATCACAAGGCCAGTGGCTGTGTGCAGACTTATTTCCATATATATTTTAACCATCCATTGTGGGAATTTCTTGCAACTTACTCAATCTGATCTGAGTCTGCCCCTCCAGGGTCACAAGTCACTTATTTTTCAAACTGTTTCCATAGAGCAAGTCACGGCTCAAAGGACAAAACCCGAATGACCGTTAATTTTTACGAGCTCATAATATGAGCTATTATATATGTATACAGGGTGTCCCAGAACTCGCGCTACAGAGAAAAAGGGGGCGTGCCGATAGCAATGGAGATGCCAAATTTAAAAATAAAAAAATTTCTAGGTAATAGTGTAATCGAATGATAGCAAAAAAGCGGCAGCCAATACCGAGACATCTCGCCTAGGTTAAACGTAGGAGCTTTAAAAATTGCTAGGAGACGATAGAACATTGTTGTCTTAAAAACATTTAAAAATCTTTTGGCCAACTGTATTTACTAAGTTGTCAAAAGCTTTCAAAAATGAGGTTATTAATCTATGACTGATACTTCAGAACGCCAATGTTTTAAAAGTAAAAAAATCAAACCAGTTGTAATTTATTTAGCTTTTTTTGCGCCCACGCTCCCCATAAATAGTTATCATTTCGGTATAATCATCAAGGAAAACATTATTTATAATAACTTAATTTATTACCTAAGATTGACAGCATTGTCAATAATAACTAACCTAATATAATATTAATGACAGGAGTAAAGATTGACAGCAGTTTTACAATGAATTGGATTCCAGTGGACCAAATATTTTACATATTTTTTATTATCAACAATGCAACCTAAGTATCCTAGCAATTTAAAGAATTCCTGTGGTGATCTATTGGGATTGGCTATCGTTTTTTATTCTTATCTCCCTTATCCTTTGCGTTGGACAATTTGAATTTTTAAATATGTGTTTCAAATTACTTTTATATATATATATATATATATATATATATATATAGTATATATATATATATATTATGTATGTAACCTAGGGTGATTCAATTCCGACGCACTCTGATATGTTGTAAAACTGTACTTTGAAGACTCCTACGGATGAACCAATGCGATTTACACAACAAAACTTCAAAGCAATTTTTTAAATGCATTTTAAACAGTAAAACTTTAAATTTAAATAGTAAGTACTTAAATTTGATATTAAGAGCTGTACTTGGTGAGAATTTTTTTTCTATATGCAGATTAATATTTTGCTTGAACACCGAAAAAAACAAAAACTTTGCGGAAATGAATCACCCTAATGTAACCCCTTAAGAATGCGAAAGCAACAAACTCAACGGTTCTCTTTGCAGGCGCTAAAAGAGGGCGCGGACATCGTGGTGGCCACGCCGGGTCGCATAATCGACCACATCAAAGGCGGCGCCACCGACCTGCAGCGCGTCACGTTCCTCGTGCTCGACGAGGCCGACCGCATGTTCGAGCTCGGCTTCGAGCCGCAGGTGCGCTCCGTGTGCAACCACGTGCGCCCCGATCGGCAGACGCTGCTCTTCTCCGCGACCTTTCGCAAGAGGATCGAGCGGCTGGCCAAGGACGCGCTCTGCGATCCGGTGCGGATATCGCAGGGCGTCGCCGGGCAGGCCAACGAGGACGTCACGCAGCACGTCGAGCTGCTGCACGGCCAGGAGGCCAAACGGAACTGGCTGTTTAGCAGGCTGGTGCAGCTGATGTCCGCCGGTTCGGTGTTGGTGTTCGTCACCAAAAAATTGGATGCCGAACAGGTGGCGAACGATTTGAAGGTTAAGGAGTTCGATTGCCTACTTCTACATGGTGATATGGAGCAAGCTGAAAGAAACAAGGTTATAACTGCCTTCAAGAAAAACGAATGCCCTGTATTGGTAAGTAAAACTTATGCACAGCCACTCATTTCTTACGCCACTAAACGCCTACTAAAATTTTACTCTTACCGCCCAAAAAAGTATAACTTCAAACAGTTTTTTTATTCTTTCTGTTAAATTAGTTTTTACGTTTTACATTTATTAACCATTACATTAAGAGTCAGGTATTTTAAGTGGGTACTAATGCACAGGGGCGTGCTGGCTGAATCAATGCAGGCCTGGACTTGATGGTAGAGCAGTCCAGGCCCAAGCCAATTTTATATAAATTGTAAAAATACATCACAATTAAATACCTCGACTGATAAAACGTCCCGTGATAACTCTCTTCGCAACAAAGAACTGTTTTCAGCTAGTTCAATTATTAAGTCACAATCTAAACCATTTTGCACCTTTCTCTCCACAGCAATCAGCATAAAAGCTTCCAAATTTAAGTCACTTCACACTAATATTAAAGGAAAGGGGGCTTTTTTGGATGCTTTTGTAATTATGTTTCTGTTCCTCTATAAATACGAGCTGATCTCCCCTTCCGATAATTTTTAAATTGACTAAAATTGCATTTTATCGAAGTGGCTCCGGATCAGTTTGGATTTTCAAGGAAATGGAAAAATAATTACAAAAGCATCCAAAATATCCCCACGGTTTAGGGTTTCCACCTGCGACTTCTTGGTTAAGGGTTAGCATAAAAAATACGTGTTTTAGATTTTTTTACGGGAGTCAATTAAAACCTTCTTTTTTTTTATTTATTTTAGTGTTTAGTGATATAACTTGAACAAACTTTTTGTTTGGTATAAAAATCTTTTTTCTATTTGCATACCATAACAAGTCCAGCAGACCACCATGGTAGCGCAGGCCACCGGGCATTCGCCCGGTGTCCCGGCGGCCCAGCATGCCCCTGCTAATGCATCACTAAAGTTATGAAATAATTTCATTTGTTATTGTTACAATTAAATATTTCGGCGATATTTATTTGCGGCACGCATAAAAATGGATTTTTTAGCACTTGAGTAAGATCACGTTAAGTGGACTTGATCGTGGAATTTAAATTAATATATTTTAATATAAAGCAGTCGCCTTCAATAGTAAAACCCTAAAACAGTTTTCATTTTAAGAACTTTTTTTTTACAATGAATATTTTAGAGACTTTAATTAAAAAATAGATAACAGAAAAACCGTTGTGAAACCGGCGGGTAATATTTATGGTAACAGATTGTTGAAAACGTAGTTTGTATTTTTGTTCATGAGAATCATGTTCCTCTTGAGATCAAATTTAAATAATGACTTATGCTTATCATTATCGCGTTGTAGACTAGCACGATAATCTTGTCTTTTCACGCTTCCTCATAAGCCATCACATGCTCCTTTACTGTGAGATGTCGCGAAAAAGTTCAGCCATTCAGCTTCAACATTAAAGTCGTTCTTGTGATTAATTAAATTTGCAAAATTATATTTATTTTATACTGAGAACCTGCTCCGAGAAATTATTTAAATTAAAAAATAAACTGATCTTGTGTCATAAGTAATTTTTTCTGAAATTATCACGTAATTTTTAAAAGGATTACAGCACTTATTCACCCGGCCCATAATATAATAAATATTAATAAAAATTATAAAGTTAATTAATTAATAAAATAGTTAAACGCAAAACTACAAAATTAGAATTATTGTGGTTAGTATTAATTAACTTATTTAACAAATGTTGTGTGTTGGCCCGACTTTTGATATTCGTAAGGAAGAAAGTGACAACCAACTATACGCACTTAGTTAAAGTCATATTGACAGAATGAGATGACATTGACAAATTAATTTGAATCAGTCAGCTGTGTTAAAAACGTTTAAAAGTTTATTTAAATTATATCGAGTCTTAGCGTGAAAGATTGTTAGTTTGAGTACAGCAAGTTTGGGATATCACTAAACCAGTATTAAAAGTAATGTTGGTAATAAAAAAATGGTCTCCTAGAGTAACAGGGTTGTTGATGGTAGTAGGCGAATGAATTTAGAAAAATATCGTCGGGTTACTGCAAAAACCAGATAACTCCATTTTTGCATGTTTTGAGTTAAGTATATTTTTAAATTGATAATTGTGTGTAGTATGTTCTGCAAAAACAAGAAAATTCAACTACCAGCATAACCGGTCAATATCGAGCGCAAAAAATAGTATAACTTTATTTTTAGTAAATAGACAAAACGAGAACAAGTTAAGTGCATTTAACTGTGGAAACATTATAATTGTACTGCTTTTTTTCACGGTTTTGACTTTCAAAATAAGCCAAGTGCCACATAACTTGTTTTGGCTGTACACGTTTTTTCGAAATGTTAAAACCGATCGTTTAATAATCGTGTCAAGTGGCACTTGACTTGTTTTGACAGTTGTATAAATGTCATGATTAATTTATGCCGCAAAATGGAAATTAAGTGCTGAAAACAGTCACCCATTTTAAGAGAGAGTTTTCCTACTGGTTGTTGGGTTTACTGTGCCAGAGTGTTGTGTAGGTTTTTTTGAGTAGTTTTATTGAGTTGTGCATTATAAGAAGACTTCAATTATGATATAATTATAACGTGGTGTTTTGTTAGTAAAAATGGCGAACCTAAAAGAACTACTTGCGGGTAAGTTTTGTTTCTAACTGAATCCGACTTTCTAAATTGTAACATAACTTTTTGGTTTCAATAAAAAGATGTTGAATCCAGCGCTACTCAAAAAGTTAGTGACAAGCAGCCTGTCGAGCAAGTTTATTCTGAGCTAACTGTTTTTAACCAGAAACCTGATTTCACAAAAGAATCATCAGTTACTTCTGAGGAAATAGAAATAAGTTACATGGAGGAACATGAAAGTTATGTGAGAGATGAAGAGATGGAAAGTTTTCTAGAGGATTCCGACTGTTCTGTACAAGATAAAGATTATGTGCTTGAGCAAGAATCTTCTGATATAGGTAAGATCAAGATGGATTAATAATGCGGTTTCCAACTGCCTTTAGTAGGACAAAACATTAAAAATTTCAGGATACATTCTAAATTTGCAAAACATTCAGAGTTAGATTTTTTTTTCTAATACAAAACATAAATTAAATATAAAATGTACTCAAATTAAAAACAAAATTAAATAAAATGATTTCATTTAAATTACAAGCTAAAATTTATAAACACAGTTCTGTTTATTTCCTTTAGACCATTATGAAGATGATGTGCCCACAGCGAATGAATCGGAGATTGAAACTAAAAAAAGAATGAGATGGGGAAGTTCTAATCGAAGTAATTGGAAAAGAGAAAAAGTAAAGCGTCAAAAAATTGAAATGAAAAGGCCAAAAGACATAGATTGCTCCAGATGCCGCTTTAAATGCACAGAAAAAATTGTGGCAGAAAATCGAACTGCAATTTGTGCCATCTATTGGGCTTGTGATTTCAAACGCAGAAAAGATTTTATCTTGAACAATGTTGAGTGTCGCGTCCCCGAGAGACGTAGACAAAAAACTGAAGGAAAAAAGAACCTTCGGGTTAATTCCAAAGCTTACTTTCTTTCTCCTAATGCCGAAAGAAAAGTCAGGGTATGTAAATTTTTTTTTATAAAAACACTCTGCATTAGTAAGGAAGTAGTGGAACATGCTTTTAATAAAAAAGGAACCGGAGGGTTATATACTGGGGGCGATCAAAGAGGCAAGAGAGAACCACACAATAAAACAAAATCTAAAGATATAGAAAACGTGAAAAGGCACATTGAAAGTTTTCCAGTATTAGAGTCGCATTACTCCAGGAAAAGTACTAAACGACAATACTTAGATTGCAAGTTAACTATTGCCAAAATGCATTCTCTTTATAAAGAAATTTGCATAAAAGATGCCTGCAAGCCAGTATCACTTATAACATACCGGAGAATATTTTGTCAAAATTACAACTATTCTTTTTTCAAACCAAAAAAAGATCAATGTCAAATTTGTATGTCTTACAAATCTCACGTTTCAGAGAAATCGACAGAACTGGAAAACAAATATCAGAATCACGTAGCAAGGAAAGAAGACTGTAACGCAGCAAAAGTGAGAGATAAGGAAAGGTCTTTGAAGGAGAATAATTTTGTTTGTTGTACATTTGATCTGCAATGCGTGTTACAAATTCCTACGAGCGACGTGAGTCCCATGTACTATAGCCGAAAAATCTGCACGTACAATTTGACTGTATATGAATTAGCGCCACCAAACAATGCTTTCTGTTATTCATGGACAGAACTAAATGGCAAAAGAGGTAGTATAGAAATTGGAACCTGTTTGTACAAGTACTTAAATCAGCTTCCTAGCACAGTTTCAGAAGTGGCTCTATTTTCTGATACTTGTAGTGGCCAAAATCGAAATCAAAATGTTAGTGCGATGCTACTGTACCTTGTTCAGAAAAACCCGAATATTATGGTTATAGAGCAAAAGTTCCTCGAAAGTGGACATAGTTACATGGAAGTAGATAGTATGCATAGTGCTATCGAAAAAGCACAAAAGTATGTTCCTGTGTACACTATGCACGATTGGTTAACAATTTTTCGAATGGCCCGAACGACTAGGTCTAAGAAGAAACCGTATAATGTAGTCGAGCTGAAATTTTCTGATTTCCTTGATTTAGAACAGCTGTCAAAATTGTTGATCAAGAACAAACTAAAAAATACCCTTGGCGAGAAAGTTAATTGGCTGAAAGTAAAGTGCTTTAAATACTTAAAATCCAAACCAGGAATGCTTCTATATAGATACGATCACACATCTGAATACAAGGAGATTTTTGTGTTGGCAAAAGGAAAAGGTCGTCCATCTAAAATAACTGACATGAAGATAATTAAAGCCTACACCAAGGTTCGGCCAATTAGTTTAAAAAAAAAACAAGATCTATTAAAATTGTGCAAGGGTGAAGATCCCCCAGTTCCTGAAGAGTTCCACCAATATTACAAGACTTTACCTGCTCTTAAAGAGATAGAAGACACCATTCCAGAACCTTCAATTGAAGACAGTGACATGGAAAGCGGAAAGGAAGACTAGATCGGAGTTTTTTATTATAATACTGTAATACTATGTTTTGAGTTTTTTCCAGGAAAATGTTAAAAATGTTCAAGTAAAATAAGATATGTGCGACAACTTTCCTTTTTTTGTAAAAAAAACAATTATTTTACAAACCAAATGTATTTTTCACGTTTTATTAAATTCTTGCTTTGCTGTTCAATATATGTTTTAGACCAACACGGCTTTTACTTTCAAAGTGGATTTTTAAGCGTCTTCCAAACTTAAAACATCAAATTACTCAAAACTACATTTTTGGAGTTATCTGGTTTTTGCAGTAACCCGACGATATAGATATTGATGATTTTTTAAACAAGAAATTGTAGGTATTAAACATACAAGGTATGATATAAATATTATATTAATCAATTTAATTAATTACTTAAAATGGTTGTAAAGCTTTGACCAAGTTTATTATTTTAATGTGGATTCCTAAGGTTTTACCTCTGATATTTATTTATCTAGTTCAGAATGACGTTATAATTCATATATTTTGTATCATAAGTCGATATCATTATATTAAATATATTAAACCTTAATATTCCTTATTTTTACTATTACATACATATTATTATTATTATTCTTACTATATTTTCTATGCCAGATCATAGATCATAACCATGATTACTATATTGTATATTATTACTGTTTCTCTATTTATTGCGCCATGTAATGGTATTAATAAGAATGAAGGTTTTGCTGTATAAAATTGAATTGTATCTCTGTTTCGACTGTTTATACAAAATGAGCTGATATATTGTTACTGATGATCATTATTATAAATTTATTTGATATTACATTTGGCTTGGTAATACTTAAGAATCTGCATTTATTAAACTTGGAAATAAAACCCTTTAACCTATAAACTTGGAAATATATATATATTTCTATAAATCTACCGTATTAAACTAGTCAATCTAAATCCCCTAAAGTGACAAAAAGCTAACTGAAACTAATAATCTCAAAACGTTTGATAAAACCTATTGTTAAAACTAATATTCAAATACAATGAATATAAAGCTGACAACCATTATTTGTGTGTTTTTATTACTTAATCTAATTTCCTCTCTCTGGCATCCTTCCTATCTAGAAGCGAATTCAAATAACACAACGTAGGTACCTTTCCGACTAGACTAGATGATCACACCGTTTTTGGCCACATTTGACAACATTGCGAAGTTGTTGAGGTTATGTTTGAATTCGCGAGATTCTTAAAATCTCTTTGGGTTACTACTTTTTACTCGAGTATGGGGTACCCCCACCCCGTGCCCATCACAGTTGTAAAATTGTAAAATTCATTTATTATTTACGTTTATATATAAAAAACAAATGGAGATAATTTAAAAACAAATATAATATCCATTAGTTATAATTATTAAATTAGAAAAATTAAATATCATTGTTTTTTATTGTAAACGGTAGTTTATTATATACTAAGCGCATGCCGAGGCTACGGCGCGCGGTAGCGCGCTATACAGAAAGGCCTCGCGCTCGGGGATAAATAAATTCATATTGTTTAAACCACAGACCACAGGTCTGTGGTTTAAACTAATAGCGGCAGTGAAATTTTCGTGCAGAATATTTAACTTGCATGCAACTGAAATAAAACAAATTTATAATTTGAGGGAGAAATCATTAAAATTTTCATTTGTTTATTAAAAAAATAATTTAAAGTATGATAATAAATAAATAATTCAAAATTTTGAATTATTTTTCAAAATGTGAATATCAAACAATAAATCCTGAAAATTTCATCAAAATATCTCTAACGGGTTTTCTGTTATCTTTTTTTTAATTAAAAGTCTCCAAAATTTTCATTGTAAAACAAATTGTTAAAACAATAATTTCAAAAAAGTGTTTTAGGGTTTCATTATTGATGGTGACTGCTTTATATTAAAATATATTTATTTGAATTCCACGTTCAAGTGGTAAATGGAGGGCCCTGACGAAAATGACCCATAGAAACCAATAAGAAAATGAAATGGTTTGTACCGGACTGAATATGTGTATTGGTACTGGTTTTTATTGGGTTCTATATGTCGCCAAATGGTTTTAGGGCTAAATGGGAAATACCCAATCAAACCAATTCAAGACAATTATGTTTTCCAATTGATACCAATTCACCAGATTCAAACCTAGAAGACCCAATACATTACAACATAAATTCCCATTGGTTTCTATTGTTCTTAAAGGGACATTTTCGGCAGGGGGTCCACTTGAGATGATCTTACTCACTTACAAATGAGATCAAAAAACGGTTATCGAATTTTTGTGTTGTTTTTTATATTTACTACATACTCCATCAAGAAATTTTTTTAATTTAAAATGAATTACTGGTTAAAAATTGCATTTGTTTATAAAATAAATATCGCCGAAGTATTTTTACAATTATACCGAACACAAGATCTTGCAACGTTGCCATTAAGTTTGACATTTTTATTAAATGTTTGACAAAATGTTAATGAAAATCCATCTAAGAATGTAAAAACGCATTTTAGAATGTCAAAAGTACATGGTGGAAACCGAAACATATTTTAAAATGTCAAGATCTATTCTAAAACAAAAAACATTAAAACGTTGTGTACAATCTGGCAACACTGTATATACATTCGGCAACAATGTAATGTATATGAACATCGAACACAAGATCATGCAGCGTTGCAATTACATTTGACAGTTTTTGTAAATGTTTGACAAAATGTTAAAACCCCATGAAAGGATGTCAAAACACGTTTTAGAATGTCAAAAATACATGGTAAAGCGCGAAATATTTTTAAAATACATTTTAAAACTAAAAAAAATGAAAACGTCAAAATCTTAAAAAAAAACTGTTCAGAATGTATCGAAATATATTTTGGCAACACTGCAATGTATTAAGAACATCGAACACAATATCAAAAGTTAAAAGCCCCTAAGATCTATTTTAAAACTAAAAAAAATGTTAAACGTCAACATCTTGTTTAAAAAACAACTTTTCGAAGGTTGCGACAGATGTCGCTGCAAGAGGTCTCGATATACCGCACGTGCGCACCGTGGTAAATTTCGATATTGCGCGCGACATCGACACCCACACCCACAGAATCGGTAGGACGGGCAGAGCGGGAACCCAGGGTACCGCCTACACACTACTAACGCCTAAAGATAAGGAGTTCGCCGGGCATATAGTGAAAAATTTGGAAGCGGCTCACCAGGAAGTGCCTGAAGAGGTTTTGGAGCTCGCGTTACAGAGCTCCTGGTTCAAAAAACAAAGGTAGGAAGAAAGTTCTTCTGCTTTTTTTTTTCAATTTTTCACAATTTAATCAAACTTTTGGAAATTATATGAGGAGCATCCGTGCAAAACCGGCTATATCCACTTTAATAAAATGTTGGGAAAATGGCAAAAACTCTCGGTTTCCTGGCCTTTACAGATAAAAGAAAAAGCAAACTTGAGTTTTGTGGGCTTTGTGGTACTTGATTTATAAGACATACTTTTCAAAAACTTTATATTAAGGCCAAAATTTCAAAAAATGTTTTGTATATAGCCGATTTTGCTCGAAAACCGAATAAAAAACGAATAAAATGTGAAAAAAAACCTTTATTATTCAAAAATATTAACAAAATAAATTTAGTGCAAACATGAAAAAACAGAACAAATTTTAGTAGTAGTATAGACAAATCCAAGCCACATATTATTATTTATTGGATATAGCCGGGTTTGCTATAAAAACGTGGATTTGGCCGGTTTTGCTCCTAAAGCTACCTTTTAAATGTGATTTTAACATGGATTTAGTCGGATTTAAACAGAATTATCTTGGTTGTCGATAGAAATGAATCCAAAGATGCGAAATAAAAAAAACCAAAAACTGAATAAAATGGATTTAGCCGGTTTTGCACGGATGCTCCTCATATGTATGATGATTTTTGCTGGTTGACATTTTTTTATATACTTAAAACCAAACGTTAACTCAGGTACAAGAAAAAAGGGGAAAATCCCAACGTGGGAGGTATAGGGTTCGGTTTTAAGGAAAAACCGTCGGGTCCTCCGAAAGGCTTTGTTGCCAGCTCCTCGGGCAATTTGAACACCTCTTCGTCCTCGGGATCGCAGCCGCCGCAGCAAAGCAACAGAGGTCCTGCGACTGACCGTTTAAGCGCGATGAAAGAAGCTTTCAGGTCGCAGTACCAAAATCAGGTAGGGAAATGGATATTAATAATTTGTTTACGTGCGTTTTCTTATATTACTTTTTAGTTTACGGCCAGTTCGGAACAGCCTCCGCCTCAGCCGGAACGAAGGAAAAAAAGTCGTTGGGAGTGATTTTAGGGCTTTAAAGTTAATCCTGGATTTTTATTGTATCCACTTAGGAGTTTTAAAACAATTTGTTTGAGTTTAAATGTCCATAGACTTACATGTATGAAGATTAATTTGTATAATTTTAGTCCTTTATTTTTTATTATTACAATAAGCAAAAATAAATAAATCAAATGACAAGTTAAAAATATGCCTTTTCATTATTTAATAGTATATTAAAGTACAAGTTGCAGAAGGCCACATATTCTCGCACGAATTCGAAATTTGGCCTCGAGCGACGAAGGAGCGAGTGGACGAACGAATGAGTGCGAGAATAGCCTTCTGCAACGTGTGATTTATACTATTTTCTCGATTTTAACTTTTATTTAGGTTTTTTTAATTGTTTTGTGGTCGTTGTTAGTTAGGGGATTTTTCTCGCAAAATGTCAGTTGGCAACAAAAAATGACAATATTTGTTATCCTGCACAAGTACAACCTGAACTGCACTTTTTTACATTCAACTTAAAATTTTGCATTAAAATGCATTGTTGGAGCAAACTTAATATTACAAAAACAATAATAAAGGCTTCATTTTCAATAAAAGTAATGAATTTGAGGTTATTAATCAGTTTGACATTTTGGGGGTACCAATACTTAAAAACTAAATGTTACCAAAAATCGTTTAAGAATGAGCTTCATTCTTCAACGATTTTGCGTGCGAGAATATGACATTCTTACATAAAAATCAAGAATAGTATATTAAAGTACAAGTTGCAGAAGGCCACATATTCTTGCACGAATTCGAAATTTGGCCTCGAGCGACGAAGGAGCGAGTGGACGAACGAATGAGTGCGAGAATAGCCTTCTGCAACGTGTGATTTATACTATTTTCTCGATTTTAACTTTTATTTAGGTTTTTTTAATTGTTTTGTGGTCGTTGTTAGTTAGGGGATTTTTCTCGCAAAATGTCAGTTGGCAACACAAAATGACAATATTTGTTATCCTGCACAAGTACAACCTGAACTGCACTTTTTTACATTCAACTTAAAATTTTGCATTAAAATGCATTGTTGGAGCAAACTTAATATTACAAAAACAATAATAAAGGCTTCATTTTCAATAAAAGTAATGAATTTGAGGTTATTAATCAGTTTGACATTTTGGGGGTACCAATACTTAAAAACTAAATGTTACCAAAAATCGTTTAAGAATGAGCTTCATTCTTCAACGATTTTGCGTGCGAGAATATGACATTCTTACATAAAAATCGAGAATAGTATATTAAAGTACAAGTTGCAGAAGGCCACATATTCTCGCACGAATTCGAAATTTGGCCTCGAGCGACGAAGGAGCGAGTGGACGAACGAATGAGTGCGAGAATAGCCTTCTGCAACGTGTGATTTATACTATTTTCTCGATTTTAACTTTTATTTAGGTTTTTTTAATTGTTTTGTGGTCGTTGTTAGTTAGGGGATTTTTCTCGCAAAATGTCAGTTGGCAACACAAAATGACAATATTTGTTATCCTGCACAAGTACAACCTGAACTGCACTTTTACACATTAAACTTAAAATTTTGCATTAAAATGCATTGTTGGAGCAAACTTTATATTACAAAACAATAATAAAGGCTTCATTTTCAATAAAAGTAATGAATTTGAGGTTATTAATCAGTTTGACATTTTGGGGGTACCAATACTTAAAAACTAAATGTTACCAAAAATCGTTTAAGAATGAGCTTCATTCTTCAACGATTTTGCGTGCGAGAATATGACATTCTTACATAAAAATCGAGAAAATATTTTTTTTTGTCTATATTATGGTTTTTTTTTGTTTTAATGTTTTAAGATGGTGCACTATACCTATCTTCTATCTTCTATATATATACAGGGTGTCCGGGAAAATGTGGGAAATCTCTTGGATTCAGATAGAACATGAAAAAATAAGATGACACGTTCCTATAAATTTTTTTCCTACTGGCCATCCTTACGGAGCCATGGGCCCCGAAAGGACTCCCCTGCAAATTGGTTTTCCTTGAATAACTTTTAAAGTACTAAATATAATTTAATAAAAATTTAATATGATGGACCCTGGTAAGGACCTCTTAAAATAGTGTCACCTATTGACTGGCCTCCTCGATTTCCCGACCTTAGGCTGATGGATTTTTTCCTGTGGGGATACCTAAAAAAACTTGGTGTATTCCACTCCGATAGAGGAACTTCTACAGATAATCACGTTTTATTGTGATATGATAAGAAACAATTCTGGGTTATTCTGGCGGGTACAGCAGTCCTCAATTCGTCGTGCCCGCGAATGTATCAGAGTTCAAGGAACCCATGTTGAACCCTCTTATAAAGTTTTTAATTAATTGTTTCGAATTATCGTCCTTCAATTTAAGGTTTGCAACAATACGTTATATTATTTTTTTATGGTCCTTTTTATTAAAAAATAAAACATGAATTTGTTTATTATTCTTTTTCTCGAAAACGGTTCATTTTATTGACAATAAACAAGAGTATCTTTATTTTAGTTTAAGGTTCAAGCTATGCAGATTTAGTTTTTTTAAGTCTTTGTCATACGGGGTGTTCAAAATTTAAGCAAAACTTAGTCCGCCCCTGGTAAACAAAAAAAGCAAAACATGTTTCAATGACACTATTTTAAGAGGTCCTTACCAGGATCCATCATATTAAATTTTTATTAAATTATATTTAGTACTTTAAAAGTTATTCAAGGAAAACCAATTTGCAGGGGAGTCCTTTCGGGGCCCATGTCTCCGTAAGGATGGCCAGCAGTGTTGCCATCTTGGAGAATTTTTCACCATTTCTGGTGATTTTTTGTTCTTGGTTGAGAGTTTTTAAGTTAGATAGCGACAAGTCTCAAACCTGGAGAATTTTTAGCGATTTTTTAATAATTAAAATACAGAATAAAAAATATTGAAAGTTTTGGTTGGGTGCATTGTACTAGTGATTTTTTAATTAAGTTGGTTACCCTGCAAGAATTTACAGGTCGGACCTTTGCATAAAAAGCTCCATCCACATATTTAAAAAATATGTGACTCCACCATCCATTAAAGTTATTAATCTATGCCACCATCAGAACAGAACATGAGAACAGAAGACACTATTAGTGTAATCACAGAACATAAAGTGTAATATGTATTACATATCATGTATCAGATACAGCGGTATATTAGTACTATCTAAATCCTTCTACAGTTTATCCTAAAATATGCCCGTCAAACTTTGTATATAGAAAAATAGACTTATTTTGATCTGTACCTAGTACTAGTACTACCTACATGCCGTTAGCAAAGTTTGGCCACATACTTTTGGGACATCCTTTAAAAATATTTTTTTTTATTTCCATGTTAAACGAAAATGTTTATTATTTAAAAAGGCATTAAATCCTCAAATTACAAAGTTGTTTTTTTATTTATTTTTAACTAAACTGTTTTATATTTTTTGCATTTTGTGTCCATACAAACCTCTTTGTTTTTGCCTATTAAAATTATTGGAGTTTTTTTGGGAAAATTGGAGAATTTTTGTTTAGGTTTTTGAGAATTTTAACATTTTACTGTTGGCAACACTGATGGCCAGTAGGAAAAAAATTTATAGGAACGTGTCATCTTATTTTTTCATGTTCTATCTGAATCCGAGAGATTTCCCACATTTTCCCGGACACCCTGTATATATATATATATATATATATATATATACTTTTTACCTTTAAAGATGCAAAACAATTAATTTATAAAAAATGTTCCTTTAAGATACCTAAAAAGCAAACGTATTAATTAATACTAGGGTTGGGATTTTGACCGGTCAAAATCTTTTGAGGTCAATTGACTAGTCAATTGACCGGTCAATTGACTGAGCACCGGTCAAATTCCTTAGTTTTTTTCTAAAGAAATGATGGCATGAGTAAAATTACCTAATTTTAAATAGAAATTCTTTTAAGAACCAAAAACCGACGCGGCATGTGTAGATAACGGCACATCATCCTCTTCACTGAACCCACCCTCGCCATTGTCTTTACTCCCTTAAAATTAATTAGTCAAAAATGACCCAGAATACTATTTAAAAAGCATTATTATGATTGCACCATGGTCCACTACCGAACTTTTGATATTTTCCGCTAGGTAGCGCCGCCGCCGCGCGTGGTTAAATTAAAAGTTTTTGACCGATTTTGACATGGTCAAAATGTCTCCTGTCAAAATAGGTAAAAAATCTCAGTCAATTGACCAGGCACAACCCTAATTAATACCTAATAATTTGTTATGAATAGGTAATTAATTATTAATCCTACACTTTGTACATATTTTTTAATAATATTAAAAAAAAATTAATACATGTTAAATACCTATTTATAATAATTAATAAATTCAACTAAAACTTATGATCTATGGGTATTTATAATAATTAATAAATTCAACTAAAACTTATGATCTGTGGGAACACAAATCTTGAGTGCGTAGACAATGCCTTAGTTAGGTACGAGCGCTAGCGATTTAGCCATCTAGCGCGATAAAAAAAAAATTCATAACTTTTCCATATATGCGTATATGCAGCTATTTTTTTTTATAAAGTAAAGTTAACTGAATAACCTCATGTAGATATCAACGTGAAAATCGGAGGCAATCTCCTAATTTTACCAATGTGTCTTTAAAACTTATAACTTTTAATTTTAATTTTTTTATTTAAGTAGAAATTTTTATGTAGGTATGTAGATTAAGGTGTACTTTAAACTTATTTAAAAAAAATATACATTTTTTTGTTCGATTAAAAGATATAGTTTATTAAATGTGTGCCAATTTTACTGTTTTAAAAACATTCTACTTTAAGGTGTCATAAAATCAAAACATAATTATTTAAAAATAATTCTTTACCAATTTGGTAATACCAAAATGTATTGCTTTAAGATGTTTTAACAAATTATCTTCATAAAAATACCCATAATAAAAAGTTTTTAAAAATGTATTTTTTCCGCTGACATAGTGCGGTGTTGGCTTTGAACGTTTAATAACTGAAAATAATCCTCATAATAAAATTCTAAGGTATGTAAATGAAACTAATATTTTTGGAAAATAATTTATTCACCACAAGGTACATTTTTTATCTATACTTTTATTTTTACAGTTAAAGTAAGTATAATAACTTCTACTATTCGATAAGGTACCATTCACTCTGTTTTTAACTGAAGAATGTTCTTCATTAAAAATATCCTCTCCACTAGAAATTTCACACCACATCTTCAAAAAAAATATTTTTTTTAAGGTGATTACTTTTGAGTTAAACATTACCTGCGAAAAACTGATAAAAAACACCTGATAACCATTGTAGACCTCTAAAAAGGGCATCATAGGTGCATCTCCGGACCCCTCCAATTTTTTTAACGCATTCAAAGCGATGTTCAACCCCACGTTGTCGGCGATATTTTCTCCGACGGTCAAAAACCCGTTGGAGTTGTATTTGTTGTATTGGTTTATAAAGCACCGCGCGTTCGTTTGAAATCGGGCGACGTCGGTCTTGGGCCACCACTGCGAAACGACGCCGTCCTTGTTCGCTTGCCTTCCTGTTACAATTGAGAAAATGTTTTTAAAGAAAAAACAATAAAATTTAAAGTTTTAAAATATAAAAATGTCCACCAATAAAAGAGTTTTAGAACATTGAAGTAAACCAAGTTTACAATTAAGCAAAATTGACAATTTTTCTTTAACATTATTCAAGTTTAAATGGCTGTAATTTTAAAACTCTTAGAGATTTTTCAATACATTTTTTTAATTAGTTAAAAATAGAATATAAACAAAAACAAATAATTCATTAAAAATTATATTAAGTGCTGAAAAATTAAATATTTTTAACTATAAGTAGGGAAACGCATTTTTCTTTGGGAATCTAGCTCCTCTAATAATATATGTTTTTTAGTCCAAAATCTTGTGAACAAGACCATATAAGTGTAGTTAATGTGCTTTATTTAAAATGATTCAAGTTTAAATGGCTGTAACTGTAATACTAATACAGATTTTGTAATATATTTTTTTAAGAAAAAGCTTAGCCGATTTTATATTCATAATTTTATAGTTAAAACATAAAATATCATAATTAGCTTCATATTAGCATCATATCAATAATATGAAGTGTCAAATATTAAAAAAAAAATTAACTTAATTAGAATTTAGTTTTATTATCGGTGGAGACTCAGGAGTCTAAGAAAACATTATACTAGAAAAATAATAAGATCTGCAACTAATGAAGACTTGCTTCATAGACTTCTAGCAACCTCCAATCCATATATACAGGTTATGTAATTAATGAAATATATTAAAATGGGTAGTTCCTTAGGGTGCATAAAGAAGCTTTTTCTAAATTCTAAAGAGTAAAAATAATTTATAATAACCTTTATCCCATCAAAAAGTACGCCACTGATCGAGTAGGCTAATCTGGTTGCCTAATTTAATTTATTATGTTATGGTTGGTAACAACCAACGTTTCCTGATTCTGTCAAAAAAGTTGCCAAATTTTGTTTAAATTTAGCTTAATTACAAAAATGACAAAATCAACAATGCAAATTTTTAATTCGGAGTTTTTATTAATTGTTTATTATGTCATTTTTGTAATGAAGGTAAATTCAAACCTAATCTGGCAACTTTTATGAAAGAATCTAGTGCATTTCTTTCAAATTTTAGGTTGTGCTCAAGTTGTAAATATATTAAGTGCTTTTGGATTTAATTACACAAATTGAATGTTTTAAGTTAACCTGTGAACTTTTCCGAATTTCATCTGAATAAACAGAAAGAAAAAAACCGACGAAAAAATTAATTTTGTGCTTATGGAGTTTTTAAAATAGGTACTACATTTTCTAATCATTGCTTAAGCTAATGGCTGGATGAGTAAATAAATACAGAAGGGTATTACAGCTTTAAGGGCATAAAACTTTTTATTTATTGAGTTTTTATTTATCTTTTGCAAGAAAAATGTTTAGTAATAAGTTTTTACAACTAGCAGCGAGCAGCTACTTTGTTGGTTGGTATCTATGTACTCACAGAACACAGTGGCGTATCACAAAAAATATAAAAACTTCTATTGCATACTTTTTCTTCATCTTTGGGAAAATATTTTTTCGTTACACCTTATGTCAAAAGGTATTCAGTATTTTAATATATTACATTAATTACATAACACCCTGTATACAGAATTGTTATTATAAGTTTTACTACAGACAAAATACTCCTTGAGTATATTCTTTTATAAGCATTATTTGTATTTAAATTTATTGAAATAAATGTGTATTATTTCATTTATCAATAGGATATTACAATTTTGTATATTATAATTATTTGATTAATTTATTATTAACAATAATAATAAATTATGTAAATAATAAATAACGAAGATCCCATGTTATAAAATTATTATTCCGTACTTTTGCAAGACTATAATCTACATCTACAATATATTATATTTACATTTTAAACCAGTATAAAATTGCCACCGCTGATCAAATTAAATTAAAATATATAGAATTGTATAGAAATAAGATTCTTACTATATTAAAATTGTATAATTATATTTTAAGTAGTTTTTAAAATAATTTAATGTTTAACTTACTTTAACAAAACTTTAATCATGTTAACCCTTATAAAATCGCCGCCACTGAACTAATTGAATTAAAATTTGTGGTGTTAAAATTTCATAATGATATGTTTATTAGTTTTTTTAATGGATTTTGGCCTGCTATTTTGCAAATTCGAAAAAATGTTTAAGGAAAATTCGTCTATTGTTTTTTTGGTAAAAATATTTTGATAATACCTGTAGAGTCTAGGGAATGCGATAATTCGTGCCCAATCAAAGTCCCCAAGGACCCATAGTTGATATAACTAAAAATAAATTATCAAAAAAATTCCTATAAAGAATATACAGGGTGTCCTAAAAATTGCGGAACACCCTGTAGAACAAATTATACTCCGGAGCGTTTTTGTAGTAAAAAGGTGGCTCTAGTAATCCTAAAGGAATGACTAAAAATAAGTAAAATTAGTGAAAATCGCAACAAATTTGTAAGTTTACAAATGGAATTTTGCAAGATACTGTAATAAGCATTTACTTCAAACACGTTAGAGGGCCACCTAAAAAATTAAATATTAAAAAATTAGTGATGCAAATAAAATAAATTGTATTTACTGTACACTATTTGAACTATCCTTTAGTTTTTGCAATTCTTTTTCTGATAAAATTCTTTTTATGTTAAGTATGTTGGAAAAATGATCATCTGTTATATTATACTAAAAAATCTGTGTTAAATTTAAGAAAATACTATTAATAATAATAATAACTTCACGATATAACATTTCAATATTATGTATTTCTTCAAAGTCTTCAGGGAAACCAACAAACTCTTTAATAGAATTAACTTTCTCTACACTTAATAACTTAGTTTCACCTGACAACCATTTATTTGCCCCTAAAAGTCCTATAAACTCGTTTTTTATATTTTTTATCATTTCCTTGACATTTCCCAGAGTATTATCGTTAAAATATAACTTCAAATATTCCGGAATTATTGCAACACCAAAGTACTCCTTTATTTTATTGGTGCATTCAACTTCTCTTGACAAATCTGATTGAACTCCCAAAACCGCGTTGTCCACTATAAAGTTCAGATTTCTCATGTATTTTGTGGTTTCCCTTGATAGGTCTTTGATTATTGTCCACAGTAAATAATTTTCTAAAAGTTGTTTTTATGTAAATATAAATATTGTGGGCGTTTTGTTAGTACTCACCTATAGTGCTTACATCTGTTCTTTTTAGCAGCAAAACCAAACTTCTCAAGTAATAAAAATTCTTAACAACAACAATTTTACCCCCAGTAACATTCCCATATAAAAACTCGAAAACTTGCCCGAAATTTACGCGAGTTTTCTTGGATAACTCGTCCACTGTAGTTCTCTCCATCCTAACTTTAGTCATTAGTTTGGCCAATTTAATTTCAAAATCAATTATTTTTACAACTTTCACGCTCTTGTTGCTATAAACATGCGCAAAACTTTCATACATCCAGTGTCTGTAAGCGTTTAACTCCACGGGGTTATTTGAGGGGGTTAATAGGATGTTTAGGGGGTACACTAGAGTACCAGGTTCAATCTAAAAATGTTTTATGGTATACAAAACAATTTTCTATAGCGTTTCAAAAATAAAAAAGGTAAAACTTTAGCTTTTCCAAAATAAAAAGTAAGTATACATACTGGTTGTTATGTAATTAATGTATTAGAATAAAATGGGTAGTTCCTTAGGGTCCATAAAGAAGAAGTCTCGTCCCAGCCGTCGAGTGAGTAAGTCGACGTAGCAGATGCAGAGAGTAAACGTAAAACGATAAAACCATAACCAACAATTAAACCTTCATAGTGCAAACTACTATAGTGTAAAAAAATACAGTGAGTACAGACTACAATACGGTCAATAATTAGTTGAGGGCCAAGTGAAAGGAGGAGTGAAGTGACAGGTGCAGGCGAACATAGTGAAACGGTCAAAAGAGTTAAGTGTTGAGTGACAAGTGTCAGTGCCTGAGCGGTCGCACCATCGGTCAACAGGTCGTTTTCCACAGGCCAAACAAAAGAGGACATACAAGGGAGGAACAGGCCACCTGCAAATATTTGCTAAGTATCCTCAAATTCATCCGCATGACCTAACTCATAACTGAACTAAACAAGGCACATTGCCTAACAAAAAAAAACAATAATCATCGGCATCAAATTAAATAAAAGTCAATTTTCCAAGAAAAACCAAACAGCCGATCGCGGACACGCACCAAAGTTGAACAGGGCAATAAAGCTGTCAACATAACAATTCAAGTAAAACAAACCGAGACCAAATAAATTGACACTTAAGACATAAACAACACATAAACTAAGAAAAGTAAACAAAGTAAAAAAAAGCACTCTAATCAAACTCCATGGAATTTGTAAACACACTTGACTTCATAGTAAAAGTAAAAAAAATACCCCCCACTGGGAACTGCCTTATCGCAGCGATTGCACATCAGCTGTTTAACACGGTGATAGGTTCGTTACGCGAAACTGAAACAACAGCAGAGACTAGACAAATATTAAACAACCACTTACGTAATAACCTAGAAACGTACAGACCCTACATCGAGGACGCAATAAATGAACTAAGCAGTCGTTATGAACACATAAGTGACAAAACAGGACAAATTAATGCGTACCTAAACGACCACGCTAATTACGGCTTCTGGGCCGGACTGGAAAAGGGTAAGAGTAGGCCAACTAAAATACTGGGCCCACGTCACTCGTAGACAACGCAACAACATATTACAAGTAGGGATGCACCGGATCGGGTATTTTGCCGATCCGGCCGGAACCGGAATTTCGGCCGCTGGCCGGACCGGATCGATCGCCGGAATTCCGGCCGGATCGGGACCTAAATTTAAAATGTGTGTGCATGCCTATTTTTATACGTAAAACATTGAAAATATTGAGGCTGATTTATTTTTATTTTTTTTAAACTAGCCACAGTATGCAGAGTGTATTACTATTAATTTTACCTAGATAGAAATTACTGTTTATTTAAATATTAATTTTTAATTAGCGTTAACAAAATTAAAACAATTCTACTCATTCAATTGGAGAATAGCAGCCACCTGCCAATAATAAAAAAATTAAAAAGAAGCTGGTAACCACAGCCGCCGGTCTATCATAGGCAAGGAAACACGCACACCCTTCACTGTTAACCAATTACAAAATATATCTGGTCGAAAGTCGGGGCATCCCAGATGCGAAAGTCGGGGAATCACAGACGCAAAAGTCGGGAAATCCCAGACGCCTGCTAATCATAAGCAAAGGCACAGGGCTGCAGGCATGATACTAAATAAGACTGGTAATGTAACGCGCCGTATTAAGCGGCAGAAAAGTAGATCTAAACTTGGGTCACTGTTCGACAGAGAGGTCGAGAGAGAGACAACGCGAGAAAGGGCTATGCGAATCGTTTGGTTCTTTGCGAAATTAAGAAGACGCCGGTAATTTTTATTAATTTATTAAGTGTCCGAGACTATTTTATTATTACAATGGTTAAGACTTGTTTTGTGCCTACGTGTAATGGTGGGTAAAAAAGTTGTTTAGAGAAAGTGTCTCTATTTAAAGTGCCAGAGAATAGATTAATTTTTTGGTAAAAGAAAATACCGATCCGGCCAGAGCGATCCGGCCGGAACGGTAGTTCCGGCCAACTGGCCGGATCGGCCGGATTTAGTGGTACCGCCGGAATTCCGGTGGATCCCTAATTACAAGCCACCCTTAAACTAGATCTTAAAGACAAAAAAGTCGGGAGACCATGCTTCACATTTCATGACACGTTAGCACAAAACATGCACTTCTCACAAATTAACATGACCAGTTGGGAGCAACTAAGCAACAATAAAAACAAAATAAAAAAAACAACCGACACACTTTACCAAGTTCAGGAACTATCCGACACGGATAATGACAATAATGAACAAGACGAAGACCTCGACTAGGAAACTACACCCTGAAGCGCAATAACAACTCCCCAACTCCAAATAGTAATCCCAAATGTTTGGAGTAATATTAATCGACTGGTCCAGGGGGATTCCGCGTCGTACTTAGTTTTAAGTCGGCGTAATTGTCCCCCAAAAACCAACACCCTCCCGTCCCTTCTCCATACCCCACTGAGCGTATAGCATAGGCTCGGCGAACCCGGGAAAGGCTATTATAACTATTCGCCTCTCGCTCTCGAGCTCCAAATAGGGGACAGTACGGAACGCAATGGACATTCGCACCCAGCAAACACGGGTGAAGCCGTGAAGTTGAATAAAAATCGGCGTAAGTAAACATAGGCCTGTACGGGGTTCGAGAGTCAAGAGGAAATGGGGCTGGTTATACGTCTCTTATACTCATACTCATACTCATACTTAGGGTCCATAAAGAAGCATCTAAAACTTTTTTTTCTAAATTCTAGACTAAAAATAATTTATAATAACCTTTATCCTACCAAAAAGTACGCCACTGAACGACTAGGATCTTTAGGGTAATCTGATTGCCTAATTTAATTTATTATGTTATGGTTGGTAACAAACAGCGTTTCCAGATTCGGTCAAAAAAGGTTGCCAGATTTTGTTTAAATTTAGCTTAATTACAAAAATGACAAAATCAACAATCCAAATTGTTAATTTGGCGTTTTATTAATTGTTGATTATGTCATTTTTGTAATGAAGGTAAATTCAAACAAAATCTGGCAACTTTTATGACAGAGTCTAGAACATTTCTTTCAAATTTTAGGCCATGTGCTTAAATTGTAAATATCTTAACTAAGAAAAGTGCTTTTGGATTTACCTATTTACAAAAATTAAATGTTTAAAGTTTAACCTGTGAACTTGTCCTAATTTCATCTGAGTAAACAGAAAGAAAAAAACTGATGAAAAAATTAATTTTGTGGTTTTAAGTTTTTAAAATATGTACTAAATTCTAATCATTGCTTATGCTAATAGCTGGATGAGCTGGATGAGTAAATAAATACAGAAGGGTATTAAGGGCATAAAACTTTTGTATTTATTGAGTTTTTTGCAAGAAAAACTTTTAGTGACAATTTTTACAACAGTTACTGGCAACGCGCAGCTACTTTGTTGGTTGGTATCTATGTACTCACAGAACACAAGTGTGTAAGCATTGGCGTAAAAAACTTCTAATTCATATTTTTTCTTTATCTTTGGGAAAATATTTTTTTAAATATTTTTATGTTACACCTTATGTCAAAAGGTATTCAGTATTATTACATTAATTACATAACACCCTGTAGGTATCTGGGTGATTCTACAAAAGTTGGGCTACTTTTGACCTCATTAAACAGTATTTTGTTATGAGAACATAGATAATATAATAAATATACTGTTCCAGACTGGGCCAGTCACTTTTTCAAACAGTTTCTGAAATATCTGTGTTTTCTAAATTTGAATGCAAGGGAAGTGACGAGTATACCAAAATATAAGATTTATTGCAACTTTAGGCATATTATACATTAAATATATTAAAATCAAATAATACCACACATCAGTGGCGGCTGGTGGATTTTGGGTATACTGATATCTCAATTATTAGATATGGGACCCACACCAAATTTATACGAGTTTATAATGACATTAAATAAACAAGTTCTGCGCAAGCAGAATTTAAATTGAAGTTTGCGAAAAAAAGATCACCGAAACATCGAACATGGAACTGACGACACTGTACTGATGAATGGGATGCAAATTTGAGATTATAATTCGGAATAAGTATTTTACTGATATTTTTTATTAGTGGATGCTACTTATCAACAAATCACAGCCTTATATAAATTACAAAGATAAGAAAAAACTACTCACAGTACTGAAATTTTGACTGGAACTATACGTGCATTCACCACAACTTCGCCGCTTGCATTGTTTTTAAGATGACTCGTGCAAAGGGCGGGCCCTGTAGGTAATTTTTACCAAAACTTGAGTTAAAACGAGGAATTGACGTTTAAACTTCAATATTTCGCAGGAATTTTGAATTTTAACATTGGACACAGAACTGACAGGTAAAAGTGAGTACAAAGATTATCAATTTTTTAAAAATTGCTATTATTCGAATCTATAATAAAATATGAAAAAAAAATAGTTAGTAGTGAAATTGAAAAATTTAAGATAAATTGAATATATTTTAAAATAAAATCACTCAAATATTTGATTTAGGAGTTGTGACACGCCAAGGTACTGATGTTTTGAATATTTATTATGTTTTTGTACAAACGTGCTTTTGAAAAAATACATTAAAATTGGGTGTACAAGTTAAGAAAACCTGGATCTTTTGTAATATACTAAAATATTTACAAAAAATATTAAAATACCTACTCTATTGACTGATGACATCAAGTTGTCCAACTTTTGTAGAATCACCCATATACAGGGTGTCCCAGAACTCGCGCCACAGAGAAAGAGGGGGCGTGCCGATAGCAATGGAGATGCCAAATTTAAAAATAAAAAATTTCTAGGTAATAGTGTAATCAAATGAGAGCAAAAAAGCGGCAGCCAATACCGAGAGCTCTCGCCTAGGTTAAACGTAAGAGCTTTAAAAATTGCTAGGAGACGATAGAACATTGTTGTATTAAAAACATTTAAAAATCTTTTGGCCAACTGTATTTACTAAGTTGTCAAAAGCTTTCAAAAATGAGGTTATTAATCTATGACTTATACTTCAGAACGCCAATGTTTTAAAATAACGATTAGGAAAGGGCTGGGAAAAAACTCGCGTTGTCTCCCTGGCGTTGCGCCCACAATAAATAAATAAATAATTATCATTTCAGTATAATCATCTAAGGAAAACATTATTTATAATAACTTAATTTATAACCTAATATAATATTAATGACAGGAGTTTGACAGCAGTGTCACAATGAATTGGATTCCAGTGGACCAAATATTTTACATATTTTTTATTATCAACAATGCAACCTAAGTATCCTAGCAATTTAAAGAATGCTCTATGGCCATCTATTGGGATTGGCTATCGTTTTTTATTCTTATCTCGCTTATCCTTTGCGTTAGACAATTTTAATTTTCAAATATGTGTTTCACGTTACTTTCGGCACGTTCCGGTTTTCTATGTGGCGCGAGTTCTGGGACACCCTGTATAGATTTTTTATAAATTTTTTTATAAAATTTACTTACATATATCACATGGTTTGAAGTGTTCTTGTAGTCCATATTCACAGACATTTTTAAAATTGGGTACACTTTTAATGTTTTTGTAATTTTGGCTATTTCCAATAAAATGTAAACAATATTGTTTGATTTTATTTTTGCGAAATATCCTACTAGCTCTTTTAAACGTTGTATATTTTTTTCGCCTTTTTCTGTATCCAGGCAAGATTTGTAGAACTGTGCAGTCTTATGCAAAGCATTACTAGTATTTTCGTTTTTAGTATTTTTAAGAATGGTTTGTATTTTTTTGTTTATTTTGTAACCCACTTGCAGATGGTGGTTCCAGATTGGTTCAAAACTCGGTTTATTATTTTTACGAATCCAATTACCGCAAGAAAAATCATAAAAGTTATCACAGGGATTTGTAGTTATATTAATAGAAGAAAAAATATTATACCCTAAAAAACCTTACAAGTACAAAAAAATACTATAACACTTATTGTTTTCTTACCTATTTCTTTACACTGTTCACTTTCACAAACCTGGTGGCCAAAGAAGAAAGGCACGCGATTTTTCGTCACTGCACTGGTAAAAATTAAAATAAGGCAGAGACTTTTTGGCAACATTTTTTTGTGATATACTTTTATGTACTGGGATTGTTTTCTATGAAATCGTTGATTAAAATGAAAAAAGTTTAATAACCCTATGAGATAAAAAATATCTTCTGCTGTGGGTGTAGGAAACGGTATGAAATTCGCGAAAATATACAAGGGAAATAAAAAATAATTTAATTAATTAAAATGTGGTATATTATAATATACCACATTTTAATTAATTAAATTATTTTTTATTTCCCATGTATATTTTCGCGACTTTTATACCATTTCCATATCGCAAATAACTTTTTTATTTGATGTCGCATTTAGCGAATATTAAAGAATATTGTAGATAAATTAATGGACAATCGCTCACATTTTAAAAAAATACTAAAAAATAGACGTACCTTTATAATATACAGGTTTAAACAAAAATATGTTTTTTACCATAAGTTTAAGACACTCTGTAGAGTGGCAAAACCGTATATTGTTCTAAATTAAGTTTTTTTTATCAAGTCACATCTATTCTTAACAGTTTTGTTTTTGGTTCACCTCGATATATTTATTTTTGTGGAAAATATGGAGTTTTTTAAAAAACATTGCAATTTCCAATATTTTTCTGTATGAAGAACTATTACCTTAAAGGTTGCTATGGTCCATCCATAGGCTATGGAGAATGACAGTGACTTGGACATGTCATACACGGCTTTCAAAAGCTATCAAATTGTTTTTTGCAAATTATTGTTTAAATCTTGAGGTGTCTTCTTACTTTATAAAATGGATATGTCTCCGACTGATGTTGATAGAGCTATTAATTTAATCCAGGATGGACGGTCACAGTATTACGTGGCAAGTGTTTTAAACATCATAAGAAGTAAAGTACAAAGGGCAACATCAGTCGGAGACATTTTTAAAAGTAAGAAGACACCTCAAAATTAACACATTAATTTACAAAAAATAATTTGATAGCTTTTGAAAGCTGTATATGATTCAACAAAACTGTCACTGTCATTCTCCATAGGCTATGGATGGACCATAGCAACCTTAGTTCTTCATACAGGAAAAATATTGGAAATTGCAATGTTTTTTAAAAAAATCCATATTTAAAAAAATAAATTTATCTACAATATTCTTTAATATTCGTTTAAATCCGACATCAAATAAAAAAGTTATTTGCGATTGAAATTCATCGATAATTTGTGTGGATCGATTATTTTGCACGTGAGTGTATTATGTTAAATAGGTACATATTTAAAATGCATTTATAACAGTATATAATTTATTAAATTACATTAAAAAGGTAAGTCAATAAACAATAACAAAATTTCATTAAAAAGTTGAGTCAATAAACAATAAAAAATGTACAATCAAAAATTTAATTTAATTATAAAAAAGTCGATGAAAAAAAATAGAATAAAAATTAGGTGTTATATCTAAAAAGTCAATAATTGCTTTTATATACAGTGTTGTTGGAAAACTAACCTCAAAAATTTACAGGGTAAGTAAAAAAATGTAAAAACTCGATTTCAGCTCACCTGGTCTTACAACAATTTCTCCAAATTATGGATTTGCATGAGAATGTCATTTTTTCTTTTTATTTTGGCAAGCTGTTCGGGTTCAGGCTTACTTATTTGTTTTTGAGCAATTTTTTCCTCCAACATTTCGATTTCGCGCAATTTTTTCTTCAAACTCTTCATTTTCTTGGCAGGGTCTGCGGCTTCATCGTTTTTAGACGAATCGGACGATTTTTGTGGTGGTTTTTCGACTTTTTCACTTACCTTAACATTGTCAAGTTTTAAAGTAATATCTTCAACTTCTAAAAGGTAATCATTATTTTTAACAATCCAAAACAAAAACGTTTAAAGCACATTTTTAACTTAGACTTACTTGTTTTATTCTTCTTTTTGCTTTGCTTCTTCTCTTTATCTTCAATAATAAATAACCCGGGGATGGGTCTGCTGGCCGTTTGGCCAGTGGCAAGTTTAACAGGCTCCGGTTTTTTATTTGCAAATTGTTTGCCTTTGCTTTCGTATAAAGGCACTTCTTCCTGAGGAACGTAACCCTCTTTAACCCTTCGCGCTTTCCTCCAGGTGCCATCGGGTCTTTGAGAGGCAGGAATAAAACTATCACCTATAAAAGAAAATATTAAACCTATTTTTTATGTAATTAGGCACAAAAACAGGCAATATGTGATTTATTTCGACGATTAAAACCATATTTATTTGTATATACAAAATATTTACCTTGTTTGTATTTAAATTTCTAAAAATAACTGAAAAACCTACCGTTTTCGGTCACCAAGTTGTCGTTGTAAATATTGCTTGCCATGTTGTTGGAATTTAAGCGCGGTTATCCGATTTTCAGTTAAATTTTGTTCATTATTTACTTTTCTCTCTTGAAAAACGCTTCGCCATATAACCTTTCAGTGAATGACACATGTCATTATAGGTCGCTGTAATTTTTTGATCGGCAGGTTTCTTTGTGTGGTTCGTTGTATTTGTGGGGATGGCAGCACGTAAGTTGTTAAAGTTGTTTAAAGCTTTCGTACACTGCACAGGTGAGTGTTTAAAGAGGAACATACACGTATTACAGAAAGTATTTTTTGTTTAGTGTGATTTGTTATGTTATCACGATACACAAAAACCGGTATACGCCCGCTTTAAAGTCTCAAAAGTAAAAAAAATCTCAAAACTGCTTTTTTTACTTGTAACACTTTTGAAGCGGGTTTCCGATACAATTATGTTTTAATTTTTATTATTAGTAAGAACTTACGCAATTTGTAAAAAAATATGTCGTTATCGTGAAAAATTACTAGAAGTATATAACACAAACTTAATAAATTACCTGGTAGCAAACACCCGTGCGTGGCTTATAAATAGTAATATAATTATAATATACTTTGTAAATAGTTGCAGTAAAAACTTCACGAAAAACGTTGCAAAACCATCGTGGGTGGCTTATAATTTAAAAAACATAATAATTTCGGAAAAAACATAAAATAAATCGTTGGAAAACACCCGTACATAGCGTATGCCTATCAAAACTGTTTGTAAAATTTGAATCTGGTTCGCACGTGACGTCACATGCGCGGAGTCGACGATTTTTTGTTTTATAAGCAGCATACCGGTTTTTGTGTACCGTGTTCATAATATGATAAGATAACAAAAATTTGTAATTACTATTTATTTTAAATGGTACCAAATTTGCAAATACAAAATCACTACTACTTAATCTAATAGTAATCTTAGAAGAATTTTTCAGAAAATGTACTACTTTTTCCTTTATTTTAATTTTTAAAGAAACACTCAAAATTGGTAAAAATAAATTTAATTTACCAAAAAAGAATAATAGAAATATAATTAATTTTAATTTAATAATACAGTAGAATCTGAGTAATCCGGCCTCGTCAAATGCAAGTAATGGCCGGATTACGGAAAACGCCGGATTATTGGAAAAGCTCATTAATTTTTTGATATTATATTTTTCTCATTAATGTAACACTTTATTTAGTGTTTAATAGTAAGTACATATGTATTTTATTATGGTTATTTCTTTATGTAGATACAGTAAATAAACACATTTTTTTATAAGAAAATATAGCCTTTTCTCTCAGTATCTCACCAGAAATCGGAGTATGACATACTTTGCAATATTACAATAGATAATAAATGTGTTTAGACGAAAACGCCGGATTATCGATACTAATTTGTGGAAACCGCCGGATTATAGATAGTGCAAATTTTGGTGACTGCAGATTTTCACTGCACTAAGTGAAGTGAAAATCTGCAGTCACCAAATTACCGCCGGATTATTGGCAGGGTCGGACTATCACAGGGCCTTATTAGCAAGATTCTACTGTATTTGAAATTAAACTGAAAAACTATAAAAATCAAAAATCTTTATTGGATGTTTTTGTTTTTTTGTTAAAATAAATTGTACAAAAATCTTTTTTGTTTTGACTTTTTTAAATGCATATCCACTTTTGTACAGTACTGTTATACATAATTTAACCACATATTTTCCAAGATTTTTATACAGGAAAGTTTGTTGAACCTTACCATACGTTTACATTTCGTTTTTTTATTCAGAATTTAACGTCAAAAATTTGGGGGTTTAGTAGGCAAATTCTAGGGGCAGTAAATTTATAGTTGGCTACGCTGAGTAGAACCAACTAGTTTAGTGAAGATTATTTCCCTCATTATAATATGAACCAATCAGAAGCCTTGAATTTTCGAATAAATTTCGTTTAAATAAGCGATTAAATCACTAGAACTATTTAACAGCGATTATTTCCCTCATTATAATATGAACCAATCAAAAGCCTTGAATTTTCGAATAAATCTAGTTTACGAAATATCAATTATTACTTATTCTTTAAAAAAATATTTATAAATTTTGACACATACGCCAGATTTTATGAATTGTCAAATAGTTTCCTTTAATTCGAGAAATAATCTAGACGTATATCACTCAACCTATAAATTTAATCTGTCAAACTATGCTCAGTAAGTTTTTTATTTGGTTTTTCTTTTTGGAAAATAGTTTCATGCAAAATAATTAAAAATAAAACCCCTCGACCGCTACGCGGTCTCGTGATTTTATTAAATTATTTTGCATTCAACATTTTCCAACAAAAACCAAACAAAAAACTACTGAGCCTAGTTTAACCGATTAAATTCATATATGAACTATAGTTCTCGTGATATAATATATGAATATAATTAAATCGGTGAGAATAAGAACAGTACCAAGGGCGTCGATAATTTTTTCTTTGGGGGGGGGGGGGGGGTAACGTATAATGAAAATAATTTTGCAAAACTCCTTATTGTTTATTTACTTTTGTATATTGGGGAAAAGGATTATAAGGTATCAAAATTAAATATCTCATAAACATAAACATATATATGTTTATATGTATTCTTTTTTAAGTATACCTTTTTAGGTATACCTAGGTCATCTTTTTAAATATAAAATTCAAATTATAAAATTATAATGTCTTTTTTTCATTTTTGCAAAACGATCCAAAACCTTATCAATATATATTTTTATATCCCTATGTACACGAAACAATGCTAATCTTACTAGTCTTTCTTCACCTATAGAAGCCCGAAGCCAAATCTTTGGGTTGGTTTCGCTCACTTTTGCCCATTTAAGTTGATTGACAGTGAGCGAAACCAACCCAAACCAACCCAAACTTAACAACCCAACCCAACCGACCCCGCCCCATTGAGGAATAGAGGCCATTAGGCGTCGTCAAATAAGTTGTACATTTGGTATTGTTCGGGTGCTACAATTAATCGTTCCTAATTTTTGGAGTACTGTTCTTATTCTTACCGATTTGTTAAAGAATGCAAATTTGCCTCTTTGAGCCTTAAAATAATAAATAATAATAATAAAAGTGGCGGCTGGTGGATTTTGGGCACACCCATATCTCAGTTATTGGACATGTGGGACCCACATTAAATTTATATGAGTTTATAATGACATTATATATATTGCCTATAGGCAATTTCTGCGAAAGCGGAATTTAAATTGAAGTTTGCGAAAAATGTTAGTTTTTAAGTGTGCCCCCCCAGCCTCCTGCCCCCCCAAATTAGGATAATTCAAATTAAAGTGGTACAATATTTAATTCACTGAAGTTTATCGACAAATTTTAAATTTTATTAAAAAAATTCAAGAATTACAGGTTTTATACCATTTAAATTTTTTATTATTTCTTTTACTAAATTTAAAAAAAATTAGAATTGGTATAAAATCTGTAAATTACAGACTGTAATAGTAGAATTTTTTTAATTAAATTTGAAATTTTTCGATAAACTTCAGTGAATTAAATATTGTACCACTTTAATTTGAATTATCTTAATTTGGGGGGCAGGATGCTGGGGGGGGGCACACTTAAAAACTAACTTTTTTTCGCAAACTTCAATTGAAATTCTGCTTGCGCAGAACTTGTTTATATAATGTCATTATAAACTCATATAAAATTTATGTCGGTCCCATGTCTAATAACTGAGATATGGGTGTGCCCAAAATCCACCAGCCGCCATGTGATACATGTGGACAACATGTATGTTTATTATGTTTATTATAATTCCGACAATTAAATGACAAAATTTAATGTCAAAGTATTTAAAATTAGGAACTTGAGCATGATTACCAATTTTAAATATTAAAAATACCAACATAATCAAATGTGTTAAATTCCAAATAAAAAAAAACGAACAAGTTCGTTTTAGTTATAACTCGAATAACACGATCGAGTCGAACTCCTCTATTCGCCGAACAACTAAATCCAGCCAGTCGCGCGCCAACCAGGCAACACAGCGCACACCGCAGCACTCTCGATTCCCACATCTCACAGCGTGCGTGCGTCAAAACAAAACACCAACGAATCGTGGACGATTTGACGGTTTAAACTTGTCCGCAGTGTTTTTGACCTATAAAATGACGCGATTTTGTTTTGCAGCGGTGTTTTTTGCGTTAAGGACGTTTTCAGTTAGTGCTTTTAACTTCGATTTGGACCCGGTGATCAAGGAGGCTCCCGATAGAAATACTTATTTCGGATTTAGTGTAGCTTTGCATCAAGATCAAGACAACAATCCATGGTAAGTAACGAAACAATAATAAAACGAAACATGCAATTAGAAAGATTTTCGATGCTTTTTGTTTCATGTTTCTTGTAAGATAAATATTGTTCAAAATACTAAATTGACAGTTGTCATAGTGACATGCAATGTTGCCAAAATCAAAATCTTGTTTTGCAGTGGATAAATTGACGAAATTTTTAATTTAAATTAATTAATTCATACTAAAATCTGTACTCTTTGGTAATGTATAAAAATAGCAAAGATCTTGTAATATTTATTTATAAACAAAACCTCCTTGGTAATAGCTACTAATATGAAATAAATAATAAAAAATATTAAATTAAAGGCAATTCAATTTATAAATTTGTTTTAATGGGTAATTAATTGTGACTTAAGGTATTGTTTTGGAATATTTTATAACCTATTTCATTAGTAAATTGCACATAAAATATGCATTGAAAGTAATTGTTTATGCAAATATAAGTAATACAATGAGGTAATGTAATAATATGATAAAAAAACGCATTGTACTATCTAATAAAACACGTTTTATTTAAAATTTTCACTTAACTTTTATTATAAAGTACCTAGGTACATAGGTGCAAAGTGTATCTACTTAAATATGTAGTAGGTATCTAATATAGTTAAATTATCCTCAAGCAATACTTGCGGAGCGAGTTTTTAATAAATAGTTAATAAAACGAATTGGTATACGACAATTGCAAAATTTTTTTGGAATTTGAATTCAATTCAATTCTATTTGACATTTTATCCAACAACTGTCAAGCTGTTTTAACCTCACTTTTTACAATTCTGACATCTGTCAAACAGTTTTAAGCGAGTTTTAAGGTTACTTTTACCAAATTTAATGAGATAAGGCATTTTAATTTTAAAAAAACAAGCTTTTTACTACATTTGAAAAAAAAATAATACCTAATATGAAAATTATTTTCAAAAACTAAATATAAAATAATAAATGCTGAATTTCAGAAATATTATAAATTAAAAAAATATGCATATAAAATCATAATTTTATTTTTGTAGGTACCTACGAAGTATTTAAGATCCTAGATTATTAAAAACTCGCTCGCAAGCTTCGCTCGTGCCTAATAAAACTTGTAAATAAAATGGCGTTTATAAAACTTGATACATAATAAATATACCTACTATTAAAAAAAGCTATTCTATATATGCATAAATGCATCAATTTTGATAAAAGTTATTTTAGTCACGAATTTTAATAAGTCGACAAATATTATAAACAGTTTGTCTAATTTTCTTGTAAAAACTGTAATTTCTCCCTTGAAAATGGACTAACAACCGTTTTAATCCGACATAGAAGCAGTTTTTCCGAGTAAAAATTAGTAGATGATGTTTTTATGGTTACTCCAACCGAAATTATTAATGCTTTATATATTAATGCTATAATATTGATCTTTCGATATCTGTCATTCACCCTGTAGCTTCCATTAGCTTTATTAAGAAAGCAAAAGAGGAAAAATAATACGTCTCGCACATGTCCGAAGTCTTATTAGTGAAGAGATAAAACCGCCCAGATAAACATGTCAAGTTTACACAAACGAATAAGTAATATTGAATACTGAAACCAACTTGTTATATCAGAGGAGACCGCTGAACTTTATCATTTCAGAAAACTGAGAAACACAAATAAAAGAATAAAATCGAGATTTTATGAATGGGTCTTCTGTATGATAGTACGTGGTTTATAAACATGCATAGGTATTATACTGTATAAGGTTAATATGTGGGAAAATTTATATTTAAAAATAATTTTATAACCCTGTACATATATGCTACGAAAAACGACCGTTTCTACAAATAAGCAATTAATCATGCCCATGACTTGGCAAAAACACCGCCCATATGGGTTGTTAGCCACAAAATTAGCCCTGCCTTTTGTTGAAAAGCCACTTCACACGGCAATGAAAATAGAAAGGCCGATATTCAAGGGAGAAGTGACAGATTTATTTATTACCAATTTGAATAGGAACTAAACAATATTTTGATTTCTGACATGTTATTGTTGACTTTATTTAGGTACAATAAAAAATAGAAATTAATCGTTTGATAACTATTATCTTTGTTTTTATGTTTTTATGATTTTACACCTGGGTACATACAGTTAATTCCAAAAAGTACCTAATTTGTACAGGTGTTAAAAGAACCTTTTGGATAATTCTCTGAAACTCATACATACAACTGAAGAAAATTTACCTGGAAATTTTTGCGCTTTAATATTTGAACAAAGACCGAAATTTCGTGAGCTTAGGTTTAACATACAGGGTGTCCCAAAAGTATGACAATATGTATTAAATAATTTTTTAATTTAAAACTTTATTGGTTTAAAATTATCTAAACTAAACTAACTAAAAATTGTATGTTTACATTTATATTATTTTCAACTTTACTAACTAACAGTTCAAAAATTATTGAGATTAAATTGGTAAAGTTAAATTTTTTTTAACTCAAAACAATTAATAAACAAAAAATATTTTAAATATAATGTGCAAATGTAAAAGTTTAAGTTTTAAATATTGGTTTTAAAAAATTATAGTTTTAATATTTTATTTTACAAACTTATTAGTTTAAATTTGTAAAGAGTCATTTAAATGATAGTCGATACATTTTTAATACAAAAATTCTTACATTACCTTTAAATGTTAGTTTTAAATTTTAAAGTGGTAATTTTTGGATTAAAAATTTATCGACTATCATTTAAATGACTTAAGCCAAATTTAAATTGATACATTTTAACACAAACATATTCCCATTACATTTAAATGTTTAAAGCTGCGTTTACACTTTGTAAATTAAAAATTATCGACTTACATTTAAATGTGAAGTTATAAAGTTTGTGTTAAAAATGTATTAATTTAAAATTGTTATAAATAAAAAGTTTTGGTTTAAATTTGTAAAGAGTCATTTAAATTATAGTCGATAAATTTTTAATTAAAAAATTACCACTTTAAAATTTACATTTAAATGAAATGTGACATTTTTTGTATTAAAAATTTATCTTGACTATCATTTAAAATTTAAATTTTAAATGACTCTTTACGAATTTAAACCGAAAATTTTATAGAATAATTTTTTTAATAATTTTAACTAAAATTTTTAAAAATTAATATTTTTAAACTTAAAATTTTAAAGTTATAGTATTTTATATTTAAGAAATGTTTTGAATATCAATGGTTTTAGGTGAAAAAAAATTAACTTCGTTAATTTCTGTCCAAACAGTGCTAAACTTTAGCCCGGCCCTGCACACTGCTACCTACGTATCGGCATTCTTCTTTTGTTTGTTATTCTTCTCGAGGCTACAGGTTTAAGGGCGGTGTTGTCAAGTTTAAGGGTATTTAAAGGGACCCCCAGCGGACTAAACTAAAATTTGTATTATGAATTGTGGTTTTATAGAAAGTCCTCAAAATTTAATTTGTGATTTATTGAAGCTTAATTTTTAATGATTTTTCTAAACAAACATAGTTCAGATAAAATTCCTACAAACATCATGGGAAAACACCATGAATATGCTCGACGAAAAATGAACAATATCTTGTCTATTTTTAACCACATGTGAGACTAGTGGGTGGGAGTCGCATTGTAATCACTTCCAAAAATAAATTAGGCGGACAGATCTCCGAAGCCCCACAATACCTTCTCTACCCCGTAATTACTCATTAACACAATACATCGTGAAACCGGCAATTTACTCTTCTTCTTCTTCTTCCACTTGAAGCTGTCAAATTAACAGCCAATCAAAAAGGCCGGCCCCTCGATAATTCCACCGTTGTAATTAATTTCGGCTGTAACGATTATAAGGAATTTCGTCGAGTTCACGTCAAGGGCACCCATGATATACCCCTTTTGTGTTGTTGCATTCGAGAGATTGGTAAAATAAGAGCACGAAGAAGAAGAAGAAGAACAATCGAGCGAAACAAGTTGGCGTTTATTATTGAATGTTGGCTAATGAACGACTCAGGTGGGAAGGTTGCCATGTTGCCAAGTGGTGCATTTATTTAAGTGTCCCTGCATGTTATTATTACCTTTAAATCTGAACTGATATTGAAGAGGTCGGCCATTTTTTTAAATTGTACTCCCTATTTTTTTGAGATTTAAATAGATAATGAAATTGTGATTTCAGCAATATGCACATTTAAACGTTTTGGGCTGATAGTTTCGGAGATATTAATTATTAAAAGTGGTAAATGTTTAGTTTTTAATAATGTTAACTTTATAGTTTTTGTTAATGTATCAAGTTTGATAAACGCCATTTTAGACACGAATTTAATTTAGCGTATAAAGTTAATTTTTTTATACCTGGACTGCGGCAACGTTGCAAATTTAGGGTTTTGGTTGGTAAATACAGTTGTCAAGTTGGTCGCATTGATTAAAACAAACTAAGCTAGTTATAAATCTAATTGTGGTTATGTATAAATTATTGTAGGTTAAATTGTGCAGTTGTCAAGTTGAGTTGTCGAAATTCGTAGTGCAATGCAATTAATTTGGCTTTGGTGGTGCTTGCATGAGTAAAATCATATATAAAAGTAGTTAAATATAGGTTGCTTTACGTCCCAGAAGATAAAGTATTCCTAGCGGATAATAATCTTCGCTTTGAAAAGAATTTATATAAAAGAAATTAAAATTTTTTGTGAACGTAAATGTTGTCCAATGGTGAATAATGTGAAAATAATGTGTGATGTAATATTTATAAAACCAAATTCGTTACTTTTTTACTCCAAAAATATCCATAAGGCGATTTTCTTCCATTGTGGCATTTGGCATAATTTCATCAAAATGAAGTTTTGCCCTAAAAAGGGCTTTTACATTCGAATTCGTTGCTATTATTTTTGGCATAATTATCTTTTTATTTATAATTGACAAGTAAATTATCAATAATAAATATTATTGTCAATTTGACAGTGTCAAAGTATTTAATTAAATTCTTTAGCAGAAGTACCATTTTTAAATACTAAAAATACCAAGTCAAACTGGCATAAGCC